AGCCTATTTACTAGAAAGTAATATATTATATAAGTTAAATATAGTTTAATTAGCTTAGCTAGTTTCTATATATCTTAGAATTATTAAAAGATACTTTAAAGTTAATTTTTAAAAAGCTAGAGCTTTTAAATAAGCATTTTAAGCTTATATTTAAGTGTTATTAGTATATAAGAATGTATTTAAGCGTCGATAAATTAATCGCTAGGTTTATAGGGCGATTTATAGATATAGTTAATATTTTAGGCAAACTAACTCCTAAAGGTTTTAAAATATAAATCCTAGCTAACAATAGCTATATTTTAGATTAGCTATAGTACTTAAAGAAGGACAGACTATAAGGAATAGCTTTTATCTAGACTTAGGACTAGGGTTATTCTAATATATAAGCTATAGTATTAAAACTATTTAAATAAAAATATTTAATAAGTATGCCTAATAAATATATTATATAGCTAGATAATTTATTTATATTATTATATCTTCTTAGATAGCTTAGACACAATAGCCTTAAAGCTATAAGAACTATAAAAACTATAAAAATAATATAAGAAATAAAAGAAGCTATTAATAAAATAGCTTAGTAAAAAAAGCAACTTATAGAAGAGAAAAACTATAGCCTATAATTATTAATTTTTAATATTAAATTAAAGTATAGTAAGTAGGTTAAATAGGGAAAGCTATATAAAGTAGTTAGCAATAATAAGGATATTTTTCAATTTATATAAATAGATTAAGCTATTGTATTATTTATAACTACTATTAATAATAGTAGGAAAATAATAAATTATAAGTAGTAATAACCTATAAAGTTATCTTTAAATATAAAGATTACTTACCTCCTTTTAGTAACAATCCTATTGAAACTTTACTTATCCCTATACTAATTTACGATTATAATTATTATATAAATAATATTAAATATTAACTAGCTATAATTTTATTACCTTATATAGAAAATATAGTAGTAGACTTAAATACTATTATTTTATTTCCTCCTTAATACTACTATAACTAATACTTATAAAATTAGTATATTAATAGTAAGGAAACTATATAAGGAAAAGAGAATGAATAGTCTTTATAAAAAGTTCTAAATTAAGCTTATAAACGTATTAATTAGTTAGACTAAAAAACGCTCCTTAGAAAGATTTTTTTCTAAAGGCTAAATATGTCCTATATTGCTATATAAATACTAAATAGTTAAGTTTAGATATTTAAAAACGTGTTTTATATACAGACTTTCTAAAAGAAATAATATGTATTTAAAACGGGCAAGTAGAAAAGTATTAAGTAAGCTATAGCTAAATAGTATAGCCTAGCGATAGCGAGGTTGAGCTCCTAGAACTACTAAGGGCTATAATCTATATAAAATCCCTATTTGCGACCATAAAGAGTGCTAGAACGATTATATAGACCGATTAAAATCAAAACACCATAATAATTGAGATTACCCCTGAAATAAGGCACCTAACGGTTTATGGGATAATACTGAGATTGCGTCTTGGAATCAGAATTACATTCTTGACTTCTTCTTTGCGCACGGAAGATATAGGACAGAGGTGGCATTAATGATTCAGCATCTAAAAAAAGCCTAACTGCAAGAATAGAGACGGGGGTTTTGTATTAAATCTCTATCACGTGTTGCAGGACTAACTTTGAGCCTTGTACTGAATATCAGAATCTATGGCGATAGCAAAAGCCTCACAAATTGACCTGAGTTCACAGCGGTCGCCAAGACTTAGGAGCTTCCCAAGCAGGCGGAAGCGTCGCCGATTTTCTTCCAGTAGATGCGAGGATTGTCCCACGTGTCTGGCGCGTGGTTGATGTCGATGTGGCCGGGGACCTGCGAGGAAATTGACTTAGCATACTTTGCGCCCTCTAGAACCAAAGTAACAACATTGAGAAAGAGGACGCCTGAATAAGGAAGAGAAAAAGGGGAAGGGGGGAGGGGGGACGCTTACATTGCCGCAATCAGTACAATGATTCGTAATAAGAACCTTGATCTCCGTCGGCCCTCCTTGGTGCAATTTCCCGCTCGGAGCCCTACACACACACACGACATAATCAGCAATCCCCCCAGTCCCCAGTCCCCAGTCTGCAAATTCAGAGATGAAAAAAACTTACCCGCACTTCGGATCATAAGGACTAGGATTGCAATAAGGTTCATGGGTGGTAATGACGCTGTAGCAGCTCCCGCACGGCGAGCAGTCGGTGGAGCCACCGCCCATCTGCGGGTTGATGGCGCCGGCGTATACACCAGGAGGCAGACCCTTGGCCGGACCCCAGGTGGATTTTAGGAAGCTTTTGGACGGGCAGTTCGTCGTGCAGATGCTTTGTTGATTGATGGGCTCCATATCTTGCTGTAGAGGAAAGTTGGGGTCAGTTTGAGTGCTTTTGGTGGGAAAGGGGAGGGTGGAGGATGGTGGGGGATGGTGGGGAGGGAGAGACTTACTGTTGACATGCCGACGGAGTAGCCGGGGGGAGGTCCTCCTGCTGGAGGAGCGGCCTTGACGGCGAGGGTGAAGAGGGAAAGTGCTAGGGCTTTGAGAGCTGTTGAGGATACCATCTTGACGTAGGTTGTTGGGAAGTAGTTGACAATTGTAATAATTTTATGGGTGCGTATTTTAGACAACTGTGCTGTAGATGAAGCTTCACAGCAGCGAAGCAGGCTCCTTATATCTCTGTCATAAAATTGGCCGAGAGTCGGTCGTAGAAATCAGAGACCATTAACCACACTCTCGGTATCATATTGGTGTCGGCCGTCATTGCTGCGGAAGGCGCACACCACTTCAAACAGGAATTCCGACCCGGAAATGGCACATGTTTCCAATGTAGTCTGCCATGTGACACTGGAGTTATCGGGATTCCTACAAAGGTTGAATCGGATGCCCAATGAGGTTGCATGACAGTGAAAGTATCGGCGAAGCGTTTAGTGGCAAATCATGCCGCGCGTTTGACGGTGAACATCAGCCTACACATATCCCAGCCTCGTTTCGAGACAGGGTTTCATTGCTACATCTCATATGACTGATTGAGGGCTCTCGATCATGCAGCACGTCGCTCTCCTTTCTTCCAAATTACGTGCAATGATACACCACGTCCGGTAACGCCATGGGTCACTGAATATTCACTTATAGACCTTTGAAGGCACTATCATCTTTATTATCAGCACCAAGTGAGTCTGTAACCACGGCCTGTATCATTCCATGGCAAAACGCATAGACCAAGACCAAGTAAGCAAATCTCCGAGCCGTTGCTGGGGGATTGACGCCTGCGTGTAGGCTTCAATGATTAGTGGATGACGATAATAGAACTCGATTTCTCCAGTGATACACCACATATGAAACGCATGTGTGTAGGCAACATAGCAAGATTGAAAGACCAAGAGAAGGAAATCATGTTAGATGCCGTGTCGTGTGACACCCACAAGGTTATCAAATCAGTGCTAGTCGTGAGAGGGTGTACACAAAAAGTGCGGACCTGCATATTCAGCCTCATTGAGAACCAAGATAGAGCATCGGATCAGTTTTGGGATCGTTGAAGCTTTTCAGTTAGTCTTAAGATCCTGTCTGCTACAACAAGCAGTGGTAAATAGTTGGAGGTAGTTTAGTATCGCAGGCAGCAGACAAGAGCGTGCGTTTAGGAAGAGCGCGGAAACCGGATCTATTATCTCGAGTGGTCAGCTGTAAGCACAGTCTGGGAATGCTGTGTGCGAGTGTCAAGGTTGTGTCAGGGCGTCAGACCATTGTAAACAGCAGCTTTGAAAGGTGTTCGTAATAAGCTCGCCGAATTTCATTCTCACAGACATTGGTCCCCCTAAATAAGATCCCGAATTAATTCACAGCAAATAGAATGGGTGTGATCATTAAATCCTGAAGGAGGCGGAGCAAGTCGAATGAGGTTAGCTGGAAGCGATGTCGTTCAATGATGCAGCCCGAAACGGGTTTCGAGAAATTGGCACAAAATACCACGGGCTCGGAAGGTCACACATGAAACGCAGCGTCAAGCTACCATGATACCCTCGATTTATGAAGGGAGTAAATTTTTTTGGTCGAGGATGTATGACTTGGAAACACCTTTCGCTGCGCCCTGATATAAGGGAGCTTTTTTTGTATTTATTTCGGATGAACAACCTAGGCATGTTATGCCAGGAAAAGAGAGGTTGATTTAGTCTTGATACTGTTAGTTCCATAGCTTTGGTGGCTTTTTGGGGCCCTTTCTGTCGACTCGTTCTTAAAGTATTTCCTTTCTTTAGTTCGTCTTTCCTGAATGCTGAAAGTCTCGGCTCTCACATCGAGGCTAGTATTGCGAGTGTCGGCTATAGGAGGCCATGAATTTCCAAAAGCATCAGTGCCCAGGCCTACCATGTCGCCAGACTGATAGTTGACCCCACACTCATCGTGCTCTTTTCCTAGTCCTGTATTGTCGCGGAAGTGGGGAGTTTGAATTTCGAGCATTTCCAGCCACGATCTGTATCGCTCTTCAGCAGCTGATTGCATAGTTGTGCTAGTATGATCACTCATCGAGCGAGTCACCTCTGTAGGCTAATAATGAACTTCAAATCGAGTGAATCCGGTGGGTTACTTGAAATAATAACATCGTCATCAAATCTTGACTCAGACTAAGTTGTGAAGGAGAGGCGATGTCTATGACCAGACTCCCTCAGTGTAGTGTTGACGCCGAAAGAAGCATCGATTATAGCATATCTGTCCTTGTTGCGAATAGGTAGTGCGGTCGATCTGATGGTCAAGGTTTCCTTTTGCAGGGCATTTGAGCTGATCGCTAGTCTTTACGCAATTAAACTTTGCGTGCCTTCTCAATGATAGTAGAAAATTGTGGTACTGTGAGGTAGATGAAGCTATATTAGGTAGAATTGGAGATCTCGTGTGCTGTACCCGAAATGTTGAGCAGAATTCACCCCGAGTGCTGCAAAGCTAGACCTAAATGCCACCCGAGGCTTAGTCTAGTGTAGAGATCTGTGTGCAGTACTTTGACTTTCATCATTCCATAAGCTCATTCGAAAGCGGTGTTAGATTAGGTCGTGTCTTCACATTGCGAAGGACATTCTTGAACTCTTTGTACCAAGTAGGATCATATTCATGCAGCACTTCATAATCAGACCAAATATTCCGGTGAGTCTTTCGGATGTAACTGTAAAGCCTCTCGTAAGTCTCATCAACAGTTTCAGCATAATTCACTTCAAAATTATCGAGCGACCGCGTCAGTGCGAGGGTCGAAAAGATCATATCTCTTGGGTCTGTAGCCAGTCGATGCTGATATTTATACATACTGTCGAGAAGGTCGGGCCTGCTGCCCAGCTTGGAATCATAGTGTAATAAGCCGCTTTCCACAACTTCCACCAAGCTGCTCATGCTGGTTTTGACTTGTGTTTGCCACAGCACGCTTAGCTCAGCAAATTGCAGGCGCTTGAGAAATCGTAGAGCGCTATATCTATCCCATGGAAATGCGTAATCCCCAACACTAAATATAGCTTGCCTAGAAACGGTAGCTTCTTGCACAACCCACATTCTTTTGAACCACGGCCTTTCAAATATATCCTTGAGGCCTTGCTTTTCTCCCTCCGAGAATCCAGAGTCTTTCCAAGGGCTTAGCGGAGTGGGACCACATTCATCGCCCGCAGCCAAGTGCGCGAGAATCTGCATACCCTCGCCTGTAAACTTCGCCGCTGGTCCCAGGCGTATCTGAACAGCCCTCGCGTATTCGTAGATTAAGCCCATTTTGCTAACCTGCTCTGACCTTTCACGATTATCGTCCTGATTGATGCAGATTTGGTCGATCCAAAGCCTCCGCTGTTGCCCATGTTTACACAGGTAGCAAAGAGCTTCATGTAAGTTTGGAGATATTTGTATTGAGCACCCGTCGACCTCAATAAGCAGCTCATTTTTGTTCAGGCTGATACGTTCTCCCCAGACATAAGACAGTGCGTCATAAGAGTGTTTTCCATGCTCTAGTGATTCTGAAGAGAGTTTCCCGTGGATGCGACCCGCAGAAATACCTTTAAGTATGAATATCCTGATGTATCCATTGCGCAATGATTTGTACTTGAATGGCTGCATCTTCCCAAACGAAGATTCCGTTCGAGTGACGGCTCTGCCCCTTTTGCTCTGAGATCTTTCCGCCCCAAGTTATCAATACCTGGTTTGTTGTATTTCGGAGTCAGTGGCATGCGCGATAGACACCTGCATTTGATATATTGAGGTAAATTCGCCCACACAAATAGTTCACGGCCAGCTTCTGGAGCAAACGAGATAAGATCGAGGAGATAGATTAGCGGTATAGCTTGCTTAAGATGATCCGCAAAAAAGTTCAAAGGTAATGTTGGAAAGATTCGATACCTTCAGGTATTCAGGCAGCAGGCTTGGCGCCAAGGCTTCGAATACGCCGGCTTATGTCACACCTCTTTGACCAATGGAATGAGTGGACCGCCTGCTTCTACGTTATTGACAAGAATCTCTCAATATGACGAATAAGACAAAAGACTTGACTGATGAGTGTTTCGCGTCTCGTCGGCGAATGAGTGTCGTACATATCAAAAGGCAAAACTCAACGATACAACACTTCATGTCCACAACTAGCCTTACGATTCAAATCCTTTTGCGTTCCTAAACCAGAAGGAGAAACTCTCTCTGCGATCGCTACAGCACGTCAATAGCGATTCATTCTAATCTCAAACCATATACTTTCCAACCAATTTCACTTCACCAAAGGCGGAACGCCAACTACGCCCATCCCCACTCAAATCGTCCTCCGCCTGATACTTCTACCCACGCCCTGACCTCGCAGAAATACTATCACTGAGCAGCAACGGTCCATGCCACACAATCCGCAACCACCCAGCCCCCATAGGTCCACGGGTCTTTACCCCCTTGATCATCCGGACTTGGACCTGCAACATTCCACGTTAGCACAGTCTCAATATTTCGTATTCCTTCTTTCCCACCCAAGGGAAAGGGGCAACGAATACATATAGGGTCCGGAGGGAAGAGGAAGGGAAGGGAAGGGAAGGGAAGAGGAAGGGAAGGGAAGGGAAGGGAAGGCAGAGACCACTCACATTTCGGCAACAAATCCAACCCAAAATTCTTCTTACAATCATCCACACTATGCTCCCCAAAATCATACCCCTTATTCCCCGGATCAGCGCACGTCGGCGAAGTTGCCCAATTCACATTGAGAGTGAGCGTCTTCTTCCCATCCTTAACGACACCCTTCTTATCCCGCCGAGCGAACGTCTGGCTGTTCTCCCGCGCCAGCCCGCTGATCTTCGATTTCTGATCGTGCAGGATCTGGCAGAATTTGTCGATGGCTTCGGAGGCTTTGCCGACGTTGAAGGTTGTGTATCCTTTGTCTTTGGTGTAGCAGGTCGGGCTAGGGTCTGGGTTGGTGCCGTGCGGGTTTACGGTGCCTGGAGGCGCGTTGATTCCCATCGTGTATTTGCCACAGCCCGTGTCGACGGCGATTTTGTTGGCCATTTTGTTTTGCTCTGCGGAAAGGTGGCCGCCTGCGGTGGAGGAAGGCGGTTAGTATTAGGGAGTTGCGGGAAGAGAGAAGGTGGGAAGGTGGGGTTGGGGGTGTAATGAGGAAAGTGCTTTGCAGGATTGAGGATGGAGGGGCTTACAGGTATTGCCGGACATGCTGCCCATGAAGTTACCACAGTCGCTATCACAAGATCCGTCACCCCCCGTCCATATCAGCGAGAATGTATAGTCGTTCCACTGCCCCGGGTCGCTTGGAGGAGTTCGCTCGAAAAGTGCGCGCTTTTTGTTCGGAATTTTGTTGCCTTCAATGTCCACAATCATGGCGACGTGAGCTTTGGGGTCGCCGCCGTTGATTGTGTCGCAGAAGCTTTGGTACATAGGTTTCTTGCCCCAGGACATGTTGTCTATATTGGAAACGTCATTCTCGTCGCATGTTGGCGTTGTTCCGTCAGGTTTGGAACCGGGCTCGGGGCTGTCTGACGGTTTTGGATCTGTGGATTTTGCCCCCTTCCTGATCAGGCGCTTGAGCGCTTCGAAGTGCTTTTGGGCATCTGGTCTTTTGGAGGGTCCAGAGTGTTTGCTGAAATCTGGTTCACGGAGACAATCACAACTCTTGTACTTGTTGTTCTGGGCTGGATCCTACGTAGAACAGACTTAGCAATGGTTCGAAGAAGTCTTTGAGGGTCATTTACGAGAAAACCTACCCCTTTACACTTTCCTTGGTCATCGTAGCCCCCACAATCGGTGCAGAAGAGAGGATCTTTGAGAAGGTCTGGACATTCGACTTTGCAGTTGCAGCCTTTGTGATCTCCTTCCGTACATTTGCCATCTTCATCTTTACCTTTGCAAGTATCGTCCGAGCATTTGGGTTGATCATCATGACCGTCTGCAGGACATTCGTCTTTCTTGCAGTTGCAATCTGTGTGATCTCCGGTAGTGCATTTGTCGTCTTTACCATTGCACGCAGGATCTGAGCATTTTGGTTGATCATCAGCTTCATCAGCAGGGCAATCTGCAGGTTTACAAGCGCCTTCTATAGGTCAGTAACCCATTTCGGTAGCAAAAGCTTGGATGAGACAGCACTTACAGCCAGAATCTTTGCCGCTTGTGCATATGTCAAGCTTTCCGTCGCACTCAGAACATTTATGCTCTGGGTCAGGGCATTGTTTATCATCTTCGTGGTTTTCTGCCGAGTCAGGAGGCTTGAGCGCTGCGGCAGCTGCGGCAGCACCAGAAAAATCTATATAACGCACAAGTCATTGGTCTTTGGCGGCCATATGGTAGGACCTTGAATATGACAGCAAGACTGGAAAAGCGCTTACCGGCTAAGAACCAGGCGACACCCCCTGCAAGAACGACAGCTGCAACGGTTTCCAAACCATTGTTACCGGATGTGGTTGCTGATTGAGTGGTGGTAATGGTCATGTGCTGACGTAAGTTCGAGTATTCTGAGAGAGTTGCAAGTTCATATGTGCCAGTGGCTTTGAAATCGCTGACTTGGGTACTGATCAGGGATGTGGTCATTCCATTCTTGCCAGTCGTTATGCCTAGCGACGTTGTCAGAACATAAGACATTATGGTACTGCAATGACGGCTTCGGAAGCCTCGCTGATGAACTCACAACCGCAAATTCTGCCTCCATAATTTTTGTCTTTGCAGCGACCAGGCGACCCCTCTCCACCGCAGTTATCGCAATGCTGAAGGGGCGGAGGGTGGAGGGCCCCGAACGAGAAGACTTCCGGGCATCCACCAAGAACATATTGGCTACCTCGCCTTTCGATGTGATCACTATCAGCAGCGATATAATTCGACTCGATGAGATTAGTTGGCTGGGCTCTGGGCATTAGAATCACTCCTTGTGCAGGTTGAGCAAGTTGTGAGCTGGCTTGAACTAGAGGTCCAAGCAGGGCTAGAGTTCCCAGCAGATGATAAGAGAGCAGCATTATGAGAATGCCGTAGCCGAACACAAAATCAAGATTGAAGGACCTAATGACAGAGACACATAAAAGCAGGTCCCGTCCAGACTTATTATAGACGACCATCTTGACTCAGAAGCGAGAGATACCTCTAGACATTTGGCGACGAGAGGGGCTGTGGCTTCCTACGATTCGCATGGCCAACATTTGAAGGTTGATGAGCGACAAGACGGAGCGTGTAGGTTCGTATGAGGCTCAGCGAGGTATCACATAGACGCCTGGATTCCACTGCCCCTCATGCCCCTCATTAGGCGCCGCTCTTGGTTCATTGGCAATCCTTCGCTCCGTTCTCCGCAGATCCTTGAGATATGCCGACATCGTGATTGATACCGGTTCAGCTGAGAGGGCGGTCTTCGGAGCAGTGGAATACTCGAGCCATTCTCAAGAAGATGCAGACTGACAATCCATGTCATCTGATAGAAGATCGATGATAAGGGGAGGTGAGGTCTCGTCTATCTACCTCAAGGTGCCAGACCCTCAGTCTTGGCAGTCTAGCCGCTGTGAGAGCGGCGCCAAGCCACTAACATGCGCTCTCAAACGATGCCAGCCGCACTTCTATCCATGCACGACACAGTCTCCCTTGCATCTTGGATTGGATGAGACTCTCGGATCCGTTATTGGTCTCCCGCATGAATCCTCCGTGATTGATCCTTCCCGTACGGCGGTGCCGGCGGACCGCCCAGGTTGTTGAAACAGACATAGCGATCCATTGGCTCAAGTTGTGCGAGAAAACATATAAATATATATTCTACAGTGCGAAACATCGTGGGGTCTCCTGCAGTGCAGGAGCGTTTCAAAACGACTGTACTCATGAAACCAGAGGGTCTGCCTGGCTGAGCCTCATCGCCAGTCACAGGAAGCACATCCGACCAAGACTTGAACTCTTAGCCTCATAACACTTCGCTTCCATGGAGTACACTGCTGAGGACAGGGATTACGATGCAGCTCCCACCATTCCAACATGTATCACCATCGTTACGTGACACTTCTGACGACCAAAGCGCAGGCGAGGCATTCTGGGCTTCATTCTAGTGCTTTGTTGCGCTTTGTGCGGTAATGTCATCATAACCGCTGGGCTCCTGCACACCTCCATTCTCTTTGATGCTGTCCAACATCCAAGCCATTGCAACATCGAGGAACATGACCCCATTATGGGAGATTCTGAAGCCTTCGCCAGGTAAACCTGTCTCGCCATGCTCCTGGGGCGAGGCTTAGAGCCTCGACATGCCAGAAGCTGAGCTTTTGGATCGAATCCTCCAACCTTTCTGAAAGATGAAAGAATGATTCAGTACTTAAGAGCTCCCGTGGCAAGCTCATCCCTTCATTTACATGCATCAGTATTGAAGCACGCCTTCGAAAAAAAGATTCAATGGCCAAAGTCAGTGCTGCAATCATTTTTTTGCTCACTATCGTCTTCCGATGCACTGCATTGACATATTATGTTGATCCAAGCTGCAACAGCCATGGGGCCGAATGGGCTGGCTCCTCCTTCAGCAATGTGATCAACGAAGTAAAGCAAATGGCTACAGTTGCAGCGACGAGGCTCAGAAATCATGACGAAGCCATCATGCAAGCATTCAACATAGTTTTCAGATCAAACTCTATCGCTCAGTTAGCCCATATTCCTATTGTCCTGGGTAAGGTCCTCCCCTATTATGTGGACCGCATATTCTAATATTTCCCCGTGAAGGTGTTCTCGACAAAGTGAGCAGCATGAGCCCAGCGTTCGACAAGAAAAGCGCCGATCTTCGTTTCTATGCCGACAATGACGCTGCTGATAGCCAAGGCGCGCGCTGGCAACCCATGCGTGCAAACGATCCAAACTCAGTGTACTGGGATCGTGGAAATGGCGTTGTACGACCGTTGGGTACGCGCGGCACTGCTGAGGGCGGCAACTTGGGGGAGACTTACTTCCTATTCCCTCAGCCGCAAAATCATGACATGGATTTGTTTGCGGTATACGAGAATCAGCAGCCTGGTAGGGCAGTCATCACGGTACATCATCCCCTCTTTTGCTCTTTGAGTCTGCAATGCGCTAACGAGCGAGAGATGATAGATTGCTGATGCAGCATTTGCAAGAAGCGAGGGCGCCCCGCTCCTCCTCAATGAGATGCCTCCAGAAAATATAGATCCGAGAGAGGAGGTCAATGTGCAAGAGTTCGATGTCTTGCTGAGCACGACAGTGTTTCACGAGGTGAGTTGAACTTCGACCTTGCATATACTCCCTTACCTCGACTAGACACCAGCAAATAGCTGATGGAATGGAACAGATCATGCACGCGCCAAACGCCGGAAGTCAGTAACCCCTAAAGTCCCAACATCCGCGTGAAAGTCTCTGCCCTACCCTATCCTATTCCATCTCCTCGCCTTCCCCATTCCCCCATCCCTCCCCCCCTCCTTCCCTCCCCCCCCCCTTGAAAAGAACCCAAAAACTAAACATCCCCTCCCCTCCCTCCTAGACATGGATCCCGGCCCAGACTTTGATTACGTCGGATGGCGCGAGATAGTAGACAACGGCTCTGTGGGCACGCCGGACTCTTATGGTAAGTCCTCTTTCCCCCTTTCCCTTTCCCCCCAACACAGCAAAACACACTCGCTAACCCGCCGCGTCGGGTGGGGATTAGCATGGTTCGGCATCATCGCCCTCCTAATCGATAAATTCCATATCCGCCTTGCGCGCGACGATGCGAAAGCTAGGGGTGGTGAGCTGGAGTATGTGGATGGACATCCCCTCGCCCCTGCTGCTGCGCCGCATAGGAGGGATCAAGGGCTTGTGTCGCGTGCTCTGGGGCAAAGAGGGTTAGGCAAGGGGGCTTTGCGGGGGTTGGGGGAGGCGTTGGGGAAGAGGGCACGCATTTTTGTCGCTTGAAGACGTACGTACCTTGGGGCGAATATCTGGGAGAGAGGGTTTATTGGGTCGGCGGTCGGGGAGGTTTGTGTACGGTGTGAAGGATTGGCGTTTGTTGATATCTTGTGTTTTGCGAGGGTAATGGATGGACTCTGGCGTTCTTCTTGAATTAAGCGGATGGATGGGTGGAGTAGGGAATTTATGTGCGGAGAGGAAAGGGGCAGATTTTTCGAAGTCTTCTGCGGACTCACTGATTTGAATAATTAGGATCGATAATATTCTATGAACCAAGCTTGTGCACTGTCACCAGAGAGAGAGAGAGAGAGCGAGAGAGAGAGAGAAGTGAGGATGTGATAATTATATCTGCTCTACCAAATGCCTACTCACTTATTTCATCTCATCTCAGCTCGCAATGATGTATCATGAAAATCCTCCACCCTTATTCCCCCCTCCCCCTTTACCCCCTCCCCCTCCCCCTACCCCTTGTCCCTTGCTCCTTGCCCCTTCTAGCTAAGCTATCTCACAGATTAAAACCAGCACCAGCATCGCCAGCATCAATGCTCCAACATCACCGCGGTTTCGCGTATTACCACCCCCTATGACCGCCCCCGCCCCCGCCCCCGTCCCTGTTGCTCCTGCACCACCATTATTACTCCCGTTGTACACACTTCCCGTCCCCGTCTCCGCCCCCGTCGCTGTGCTGTTTCCCCCACCTCCTCCCCCACCACCAGCACTCGCACTAGCATTAAACCCAGATGTAGCGGTAGCCGTACCATTACCGCCCCCGCCCCCGCCCCCCAGAAGCGTAAACCCGACAACCGTTTTGCTTCTGGTTGATGCGGGGGTGAGCGTGATGCCAGCGCTGACGATGGGGGGGATTGTGGTTGCTGGGATGGTGAGTGCCCCTACCCCCATCCCTGTTCTCTCACCCCCAGCACCAACGCGCACAACACTCGCGCTCCTCGTCACAGCAGGCATAAGTGTCACGCCAGCGCTTACGATAGCGGAAACAGTGGTAGCGGGCAGGGTGGTGAATCCGCCGTTTATAGCTGCGTTGGTCTCGCTTCCGATACTAGCATCCCCAGCGCCTATGTTTTCATTTGCAGCAGCAGCAGCAGTGATACTCGCCACAGGCACGGTCAGTGAACCTATCACCAGCCCACCCCCACCGACACGGTTGGAGGGATAGAGGGATATAACGGCGCCGTTGGCAGCTGTAACGGGGGCAGAGCCGGGCGTTAGTGTTGTGCCTGCTATGGAGATCGCGTTGGAGGGGAGGGGCTGGATGGTTTGGCCTGCGATTGCGATGCGTGGAGGCGTGTTGAGGGCATTTTTGTTAAAAGGGGGTTTTGGTTGGTGGAAGTGAATTTGTCATTGGAGTCATCGAGGGGTGAAGAGTTAGAAGAGTGCGGATCGAGTGGGTCAACGACTGTGTTTTGATTTGGGCCGAGCTTGGGATCTTGGTCTGGAGTATCGTTTGTAGAGTCATTTGAGGTCTGTGCAGTGCTTTGGGTTCCTTGTCCGCCGGAATCTTGGTTGAAATTTTGAGATGAGGCTTGGTTTGCAGAACCTTGTGGGTTGGAGTCGCTGGGCTCTTCTTCGTCAGAACCAGATATGCTCGACGAGGATTTTCCAGGGTCTCCATTTCCAGGACTTTGCTGACCTCCAGGCGCCTTATTTCCAGTAGTCGGGGAGTTGCCATTTTGCGCTGGGCTTGAAAAGGTATTTGGTGCGTTCTGCCCAGGAGAATTGCCAGAAGATGACTGGCCGTCTTCATTCTGTGCTGACGGTCTTTGCTCTTGCTCAGATCCATTCGCTTGATTTGTACCGCTTTCTGGATTTTGGCCATTGCCAGCAGGGGCTGCCTCTTGACCGATTGAGGTAGCTTCTTTCTGCTGTACTGCGGGGTCCTTGCTTGGCTGCTGACTCTGCCCCATAGATCCGTCATTAGTACCTTGCGGCACATTACCCGAGTTCCCTTGCGGATTCGTGCCAGGGCTCAGTGCCGCGTGTAACTGATCCATAGATTCTGGAGAAGCATTTGACGGATCATGGAAGGTGGGAGGATATTGATCGACTGCTGTCGTCTGTTGCCCTTGTTGAACTTCTTGCGAGGGATCACTGGCCTTTTGAGGGGAATCCTGAGACGGTGAATCTTGATTTTGAGGCGACTGGTTCGAAGTCGGATTCTGGTCTGTAGGTGTGTTGACCTTGTTTTGTGTTGCACCATCGTCTTTTGAACCAGAATCGCCGCCTTCTGGCTGCTCAATTGTGCCTCCTGACTGCGGTTGTTGTTGGGGTGTAGTCGCTTGGGAAGGTCCATTGTCCGATTGCTGGAAGATAGGATTGAGGTGATCAGGCTCTGGTACAGTATTGCCAGTATTGCCAGTATTGCCAGTATTGCCAGTATTGCCAGTATTGCCAGTATTGCCAGTATTGCCAGTATTGCCAGTATTGCCAGTATTGCCAGTATCAGTATTGCCAGTATCAGCAGTATTACCAGCAGTACCCTCAGTAGCACCACCTTGCACAGCTTGACCAGTAGTATCCCCAGGATCACCGTTTCCTGCAGGCTTAGCACCTCCTTGATTCCCTGTCGACGTGTCTGGTGACGAAGTCGGCTTCGCAGACCCATCCTTAGGGACATCACCCGGCGCCGCAGCCTCAGTCTGCGACGGCGCAAGTTGATCCTGCCCCTGTTTCGGAACACCATTATCCGGCGCACCCCCTTCGGATCAACATTATCAGCAATGGCACTAGGCTCGCCCGTGGGCTCCGCAGCCACCACCTTCATCGGCACCAACGTCCTCGGCGGATCGATCCCCGCAAACGAAGCCTGCGACAACACGCACTTCGACCAGCCCGGCACAGCATCGCTAAGTTTCTTCGGCGGCGCGAGGACAGGGCGGTAAGGTACGCCTGGCGCGGGCTTGTACTGCGCGGAAAGCATGACGTCCATGGGCGGGCAGGGCAGATCCGCGAGGTTGAACGGTTTGATGAGACTGGCTGGGAGGACTTCGTCCGGGCGGTCCCAGAGCGGTTTTGCGACTGTGGAGAGCTCGCCTGGCGCGAAGGGGATGATTGTGTAGGGGATTGTTTCGGCGATTTGGCCGAGGGAGGAACGCCCGCCACAGGCGTCGTGGGCGAAGATGGAGGAGAAGCCGACGCAGATTGAGGGGGAGGTGCATTTGAATCCTCTGATGTCAGCTACCTCGACGCCTTCTTGGTCACTTTTGGCGGTGCCATTTTTGGCTGGAAGATCTCTGCGCTCACGTCGGATTTTCGGGCCTGGAGTAATGCGTGCGCTGGATGGGTGGGTTCCGACAGTTGAACCAATGCCTTTTTCTAAAGGCGTGAAGCCTGCCGTCTTTGTCTGGATTTGGTCTTCATCATCCTGGCCCGTGTAGCCAGCCCAGGGATTTGACTGCTGTTGGTAGTACGGGTATCCCCTTGCATCCGTGATGTAAAGATTAGTCTCCCAGTTGATACTTTGGGTTCCGATCGTCTTGAGACATTCACTATTGGCGCCTGAAACTGGAAAGTAATAAACATCAATCAAGCCTCCACCATAAATCTCGCATTGACCACAACAACCAACGCCTCTGGTTGCAGTCGCAATATCACCAAAATCAACGGTCTCTGGGCTCCAGCCATTGTAGGCTCGCTCGGACCAGGTCCATGGTTCAGGGTGATTCTTGTGCCAGTCAATAAAGTCTTTGTTACATTGTGAGTTCCTGAGGTAGTCCATAATCTTCGTCTTCTCCTCCAAGGGCGGGTGCCAGCCATTGCATTGTGGATCTTCTGACCAAGCACAATGTGCGTTATAGACCATATGGAACATTGAGCCATTATTACTGAAAAATCTATCGAGCGCCTGCGCACGGTCACCGGTGCATTTCTTGTCCCACAGAACACACTGATGGTCAAAGGGATATGGGTACGTTGAATTAGAGGCTGTTGAATCAGATGTGCGATTACCCGCATCAGGTGCTGTGGAGAACGCCGATGGTCGGACTGAGGGAGTGCGGATTGTTCTCGAGGTGTTTGTTAGTCTATGAGTGAGCGAGGGTAAACCATGAGACGTAGACACTGATCCTGATCCATGAGTTGGATGTAATGGTGTTGCAGAAGTCAATGAATGACTTGACGAATGTAATGATGCTGTAGATTTGGGTTGCGTCCCCGAAAATGACCCAGATGAAATTGATGAGGTGAGGTTTGCATGACTAGTCCTCGTTGAGAATGTACTAGTTTTTGAAAGACTGCCAAGATGGGTCGTCGAAGAAAGCCTCCCCGAAATCAATTCGAAGGGAACAGATGATGTGACGCTTATATGACTTGACTTCTTTGATGGCGTATAAGTATCTGAGCTGCTAGTACTGACTGTCGAAGAGGTCTGGGTCGAGGAAGACGACGATCTTGACGTTATGGAACCCAATGAAGATGTCGAATTTGTCGACGACGCAGTGGCGAATGGCTTGCTCGTGAGATATGTCAGCGCATGGTCACCTCTCGGTCTGACCACAAGACCGGCGAAAGCGACCGGGAGTATGCAGGCAAAGGGAAGCCATCTCATCGTTCTTGCGCATTGAGTGGCGCTCGATCACAGCCCTGAAAGTCCGCATCACGAGCTCAAAAGCGGGCATAGCGCTCTTTGAGAGATACCATCATCAACAGAAGAGGGAGGCAGCACTGGGTCAATGTTGAAATCGTTCAAGGCCAATGTTGAGGCAGGGGTGAAGAACGAAATGAGAGCCTTAGCTGGTACATATATTGAAATGAACACGAGGTCAGCTGCGCAGATGCGACCATGTACCGCATAAGCCGCAGAGAATCCTTCTGCAGGTACCACTAGCAACTTTGTTTCATCTAGAACCTCAAATAGGGCGTTGGTGAGAACTAGCGTCTGCGCCGCTGCAAGTCTGGCCGTATCTCACCCTGCGCCACAAATTGGCAGGTGTGAAACACGATTCGGATTCTTGAAGGTGGAGACGATAGGTGAAAGTCAGAAGGCATGAGAGTGCTGCATCTTGCCTTCATCTCCCTCTCCTCTGGCCTCGGGGCAAAATGACCAGGCCGAGCCAGGTCCATCACCAACCAGCCTGCTAGATGCGCTTGGCTTCCGGAGGCTGGGAGGATTTGACAGCGAAATTGTCGCTATTCGTTACCACTGGCTTGCAATTTCAATCGCAACGGTGGCGTTGAGCGAAGGATCGCAACGTCAAACAGCGGGAAGTATTCTTAGCGGTCAGATCTTCTGCAGCATCTGGAGGAACAAGTTGGGTACCCGTTGGTTAGAGGGGATACGATCTAAACGAGTGACGATGGCTCTGGAGTACCCATTATTATACTCGATAGGTATCGCAGCGAGTTGAGCACGAGGAGTCTGCAATGTAGATGAGTGTACGGCTGAAAGTTGGGGAGATGAGATGAGAGACAAAGTCTTGGCGAGGGTCAGCACTAGAGCTGGAAGAAGTAAGACTGCCGAGACATCTTATCTCCGGGATGGCCGAGGGGGCCACAGGTGCACCGACAATCATCACCAAGTCTGCTACTCCTACAGCTAGATGAGCGGAAACAAAGGGAGCAGTAAGAACTGAAGACTGCGGAAAGAAGCAGGGGTTTGAGTTCTTGAGTGAGACACAAATGGTTGAGCAGATGGCGAAAGAAAAGAAGGGCTCTTCGGACCACTTGGGAGAAGTATGGAGCTTGCCATGTTCTTTACCGCTGAGCTTGTGCTCGAAGAGGAGAGTCAATCGTACTGCGATCCACTCATGAAATTCTAGTCGACCTCGCTTTTGCCTACAATTATCGATGTGATCTTTGGCTGTCTTTGCTCCCCGGGTCACAGCCCTCCCTTGCTTTACCTGGCGTCTTTCGATGCGCCGGAGTCCGGGCTTTCTTGAGCCCTTTTTTTGTGATTTGGAACTGCGCAGTATACGAGTGCATTCAGAATGGAGGTCGGATTGTGATACCTCGGCTTCTAAATGATTGCTGGTACCATGACCGACCCGACAATATCTCCAAGACACCCTACCCTCAAGATACTTGCACCGAACTTCCATTAGCCCCCAAATCTCCAAAGTCCAGACTTCCACTCCCAATCTTCGCCAAGTTGCGAGGGTAGCCTGGCGCCCTCACATAGAGCTCGAACGCCGTATCCCACCCATCATACACGGTGACGAACTTCTGCAGCGCTTCTATGACGCCCACCAAGTCCCCCCAAGTCATACCGATCATCGTCGGAGGCGGCAGATACGATGGCTTCCTTGGCTCAATCTGAACTTCGACATAGTTCGATCGCCACGAATCGTAGTAAGGACCAGTCATGAATTCGTCTTGATGCTTCCCACGAGCGATGTCGAGCGCGTGCGAGAGCAGCAAGTCTACGTCATATTGTTGCCGAGCCGGCACTTCGTCCCAGTCCTCGAATTTCATTATCAGAAGCGGATTGGACCCGGGTAGGACATAGGCGAAGGAGTCTACATCCTCGGGAGGCTCGTCGCCGGGTGGGAAACTGCATCTCGGGTCAGCAGGAAACACAAGGGGTGGCAACCCTTGGTGAGCCTACCTACTCGGGGCGCGCGTTCAGCGCTAATGACTGTTCGTCAGACGCTGTTTGGTTATCAATACTCCGCAAGACGATGATGTCATTCTGGGATGCGACCGTGGTGTCGGAAGGAGTCAACCACAACGCCCCTGCCCCGACGTTTGGTGGCTCGTCAAAGCCTCCAATGTCGGCCATGACATCATAAGCTACTGCAACGCTCGGATATGCTTGCCTGAATTTCTGGATCCCAAGGAGAGCGTTTCGCCAAATGCGCCATCTCAACCCTACCTCGAAAGTAGGCGTGGTTCTGGATGTCGTGTTCTCGTTCGGCTCGACATAGATCACAAATGGCGATTTCTGCCAGCGGGCGTAATCCATGTAAAGATTATCCCGCGAGTTTCTGGTGGCTTCAGTGAGCGCGTCTTGTATGACTTGTAAGGCCTTCCCTTCATCACGGTTTGAAAAGGATCGCCAATTGCGGAATTGAACGGTTGTCAGAGGGTAGGAGTTGGGAATTGCGTATTGGAAGATCTTTCCGGGAAACGGAGGCTCAGGACCGGGGGGGAAGTCTGGCGTCGAGGGAACGTCGGCGTTCGTTGTCTCAGTGCCGTTGAAGGCCTGGGAGATATTCGGGCCCTGTACAGGTATGTAATCGGCGCTCGCGAGTACAACCGGCCCTGGTGGTAGCGAGAGCGCAGAGCAGACGCGAGCCGCAACGAGCAGGTATGGTAGCAGCATCGTCAGAGAAATCCAGGCTCATCAGTCGACATATATGAGCACAGGTACGTATTCTTGACGAAGACTCTCTGGTGCGTAGAGGCGTAGACGGAATAAGTATGCTTCGCGTGCATTGAGATTGTCGCAAAGGATCGTATACAAAGTTAGGCTTCCAAACCAACGATGAGACTTCGAGACGCCGCCGATGAGACATGAGGCTGTTTATTGCGTCCTGGCGAACGGTTTCGTTGGCGTTTGAGTCGAAAATCCGGGGTGTCATGTCCCAACAGCGCGGAAGAGTCGTTTTGGCGACAGGCTAAGCAGTTTTTCAGGTCGAATGTAGCTAAAAAGGGCTGTCTTGCGCACAATGTAAGACCCACCGCCCCCTTCTAGATACACGTCATGTGATAATGTAGGTTCACTGGAATAGGTCAACCATTTTGTCGCCTCTGATATCCGCAAAGATACTCGCGCTTGACTAATTGCTCTGTTGGTAGATAGATTTGCACACTTTCTGCAAACGAGTGATGAATGCATCGCTATGAGCTATAAGTTTGACACTGAGAGCTGGAATGTATCTGTACTTAGGGATGAGCGTTCAAGAGATCAGGGAGAGAGTTGGATGGAGTGGGTGTCCGCTATGCCAATGGACGGTTTTGCTTCAAGACTGCCAAGGCTCTTATCTCCGCAACGTCCGCAACGAGATTTTCCAAGAGGGAATTTGAGTCTTTCTGCCATCTCTATGCACAGTCGTGAATGACTGTCTATTGCTGATACGACGGCATTGTCACCTCCATGAGATGATACAGTAACATTTACCGCCCCGTCTCATTGTCTAGGACCGGGCATGGCAGCCTGCTGAAGTCCTTCAAATGCCTAGTCTCGATAGATGGATGCATACACCACGTATATGAATCATCTGTTGTACCTTGGCAAACACGAAGTCCGTGAGACGAGGCGTCTCTGTAATATCAATTGGTTGGTCTTGACCTCGTCTGACGGAGTGCTACCAGCCACTCCGTCCAGTCACCGGCTTGATACTGCCAGGAGTCGGAGAGCTTAGGAAACTCGACCTGGCTCCGTGAAGAAGGATCAATGTATGGAACGACATCAACGACAAAGTGCGACGAGAGTAGTTTCATATCACCAGCATTGGGCGAAGCTAGGATTCGGACCACCGGCTCCTCTCTATTTAGGCAGTACCCACGAAGTGCTTCCGCGTAGATCAAGCCGAGAGAGCCGTCAAGCTGTGCATGTCAATATCATGGGACACTCCAAGTTCATTCATATCTGGCCCTCTCAACCGCAAAAGGCGTGTGCCAAAAGTCTTTTAATCACATCCTGGATCGAGAATACAATTGCATCGTGACGAAACCGGGCGGTGACTCAATCTCTACAAAGAAAAATGTCCGTCACAAAATGCACACAAGCTATGCCGAATGCAGATAGCAGTGCGAGAAACACGTTAAGTTACGTTGGCCAAAGCTTGTTTGCTACACAAAACGTGGCTCATCTCGCTAAGAACAGCCATGGGATTTCAGCCCCTGCTCTGACGGTGGTAGTTCCGCGAAATCTAGCCTAAAGAGATGATAGTACAAGGCGGAAGAGCTGAGCCTTGCAGCTTAGCGAAGCTTAGCATCCCAATGACGGGGGCAGCTCCGCTATGAGGGGTTCAGTGATAAAGGCGGCTGAGGCCCGTGGTCTTTCTTGACAATTTATTCTGTCTCTTCGCCTTTGATAGAGCTTACACAGAAGACATGATACGGTACCTTTACAAAAAGCGCCAGAGACAGAAGCGGGAGCGGGAAGCCACCCATGATGCTCCCTCCGACATTGTAGCAGCAGACGCACCTACTCCTCCTTCGAAGACCGCATTGAGTGAGCACACATTGGCCGAGAAAGAAGCTTCTACCGACACCAAGCACATTTCCGATGAAGATAAACAAGCTCAAAGAGCAGCTAAATCCGCCTCACGAACCTATCGCTGGAAACTCATTGCCGGGCTCTTCCTTCCCTACTTCCTCGCCTCGACGGACGTGACCATCATTGCTACAGCACTCCCGTTCATAGCATCGCACTTCTCTCGGCTCGATCAGCTCAATTGGATTGTCACCTCCTTCACCATCACCTCGACCTCTTTCATCCCTATTTGGGGCCAGCTCGCCGACGTCTTCGGTCGCCATGTCGTTCTACAGACCGTCATGGTCATCATGATGATCGGGGCAGCGTTAGCAGCTGGCGCGCAAGCCTGGGTGATGCTCCTCTTCGGCCGAGCATTGATGGGTGTAGCGGCCGCCGGCATGTTGAACATCATCAAGATCGTGCTGGCGGATAAAGTCAGCTTAGAAGAGAACGCAAAGAACAACACGACATTCGCTATTGTTGGGGGTGTCAGCTTCGGTATAGGCCCGGTCATTGGTGGGTACTTGACAAGCGCAAGCTGGCGATGGGCATTTATCATCAACATCCCCATCGCAGCGTTGGCGATGGTGTTGATCTGGGTGCTGTTGCGCAAAGAGCTCGTGGGACCCAGCAGTACCTCAGACTCGCAAGGCCGGTCGCAGCGCATACTCACACGCTTCGCAACCCTCGACTACGGTGGCTTCATCCTCTTCGTCTCCGGCATAACCCTCATAATCCTAGGTACAACCTGGGGAGGCGCAACATACGCCTGGTCCTCCTCTGCCGTCATCATCCCCATCGCCCTCGGCGGCGTCCTCTTCCTCGCCTTCTGGATCTACGAATACCTAATGACACCAGGCAACTTCCTCTCGCGGCTCTTCCCCTCCCAAGAACCCATGATCCCACTAACCCTCTTCACCAAGCGCGACCTGCCCCTCCTAGCCTGGATCTCCTTCTCCACCGGCTCCGCCATGTACTCCATCTTCTACTTCGTCGGCATCTACTTCACCGTCGTCAAGGGCTACGAGGCCTCCAAAGCCGGCATCCAACTCCTCTACTACCTCCCCGGCATCGGCGTCGGAGCCTACTCCGCCATGTTCTTCTGCAACATCTGGCCCAAACAGACCTGGTTCCCGATCTTCTCCGGATCCGTAATCGAGACAGTGGGTTTCGCTGTCTTATGCTACGCCCTGCACACGGGGAAAGTCTCCGTCATTGCGGGAATGATGGCGCTCGCGGGCGCGGGGACTGGACTCCGCCTCATGCCAGAAACCCTGCACGTCACGGGCATCTGGCCCAACCATATCGCCCGCGCGATGTCCGTCATTGATTTCTGCATCCCCTTTGGCGGCACGATCTCCCTCGCTATGATGGGCGCTGTGTTCAATAACAAACTCGTCGGTCACATCCCCGGAGGAGGAGGATCTGCGCATCTGAATAGTCATAGCCAGGGCAGTCTGGACGCTATCAATGCGCTGCCGGCTGTGGCGAGAGATGCGTTCCGCGATAAGGCGAGAACGGCGGTGGTGTTGGCTTTTGTAGCTGTCGTGCCGATTATCGCTCTGGCCATCGTGGCGGCGAGTTTTGTGGGGAATGTGAGGATTACGAAGGAGGAGCGGAAATCGGAGACGGGGCATTTGGAAACGAGTCGGGCGGTGGAGGAGAGGCCGTTTCTGTGGGCTTTGGTTCAGGTATGTTTTGACTGGTTTTATATTGCTGTTGCGGATGGTTTGAGAGGTCAGTGATGCTAATGCGACTTTTTAGGGGCCGAGGAGGAGGGTTGAGGATACTTCGAAGGAAGAAGCGCCGCTGCCGTGACAGTGAATCTGTCTGCTCTGATCGTGGCATCTATGAGAGTATGTGTGTATATATAATATGTTACAACGCTCTCAAAGATCCACAGAGCTGAGTCCAGACATCGCGCTTTTCATTCGAAACTTTTGTGCCCATTTTTAACAATAGTCCAACTGCTCCACCAATATACAGCATGAACGGATCTTCGTGTCGACTATTGCTTCCTGCCCCGTTTTTTAATCCCAACCAAACACCGCAGCGGCTTCCTCAAAAACCCCTCCCTCGTCTCCAGCTCGCCCGTCCCCCCCGTCTCGCGCAGCACAAACTCATACCCCCTCATCACCGTCGCGAAAATCATGCATAACTCCATCTCTGCGACATTCCGGCCCACGCACGCTCTCGGCCCCGTCGAGAAGGGAATGAAACTTTGTTTCTGCGTCTCGGTCAGCGTGGTGGGGAGCCAGCGGTCGGGGTTGAAGATTTCGGGGTCGAATTTGGGGTTGGGGTTGGGGTTGGGGTGGGTTGGGGAGTTCCAGATGGTGGGGGAATGGTGCATCGTGTAGGCGGGTACGGAGAGGACGGTGCCGGGGGGGAAGTGGTGGTTGCAGAGCGTGACGCCGGGAGGAATGGTGAGGGCGGAGGGGACGGGGGGGACGATGCGTGGGAGGCCGAGGGAGGAGGTGCTGTGGATGCGGAGGACTTCGTTGATGACATTCCTCAGACTTGGCTCTGACATCAGCCTAATCTTCCCCACACGGGAACCCACGATGGCAGCACTTACTAGCTCAGATCCTTCACCATCTCAAAACTCGGTATTCCCACGTCCGCTGGGACGGCGGCATCCAACTCCGCCTGCAACCGTTCCTGCACCCCCTCCGTCTTCAAAATCCAATACAGACCCGCGCAACTCGTGTTGCTAGTAGTATCGCTCCCAGCAATCAACTGCGTCAGCGCCTCGGCAGTCAGTTCCTCCCGGCCTAGCTTCTCGCCGTTCTCATCCCTCCCATCCATCAATCTAGCTAGCAAATCCTTCCTCCCCTCCCCCTTCCCCCTCCCCTTTCTCTCCCCTTCTCCTTCTTCCTCCTCCTCCGCCAATCTTGCACCCACCCTCGCAACAGCAATCCCCGCCAAATCCTTCACAGCATTAATCCCATCTCGAAAGAATCGATCAGGCAACCACCCCGCCCACGGCTTAAGCGCCGGCAAACACCCCAGCGTGGCACTAACCTCGCCCCTCCGATTCAACACCTGCACAGCAGGAGCGGTACGCGCGGGCTCGTTGGGCGAGAGCTGCACAGTCGCCACGTCCGCGCCGGCGGCGAGCATGCCGAAGGGCGCGCCGAAGGCGAGGTCGCCGATGATGTCGAAGGCGAGGTAGTTGAGCCAGGGGAGGGCGTCGATTGTTGTGAAAGCGTCGTTACTGCCGTTGTCGCTGTTGCCATTCTCTAAGGTGTTGGATTGAGGGGGTGGGCATAGGCTGTCCCATTGCTGGCGGAGTTGGTGCAGGTTGGAAACGATGTAGGGCTCGAATTGCGCGATGGATTTGGCGGAGAAGGTGTGTGAGATCGTTTTTCGTTTGCGGGTGTGTTCGGCGCGAGAGCGGGTGTTGAAGAGGCCGCGGCGGATGGAGACGAAGGCGTCGTAGTATTCACTATTTCATGAATGTGAACATTGATGCTAGGGAGAGGTTGTAACGGGTGAGACATCGGATGGGATCACGAGAGGGGTTGGAGATGGAAACGTGATGCTACGCACCTCTTGAGCCAGCCGCCGGTATGGCTGTAGATCACGGGGATAGCTTCTGGGTCTGCTACTGAGACGTGATTCGGTTGGAGACGAACGAGTGGACCGTATTTTTGATGCGCGTCGTCGACGGCTTTGTAGCGGCGTCCTCGGCGGCATTGGTAGAGGAGCCAGAAGTTGCTGAGGGCGGCGAGTTTGGGGCCTGGTATGCCATGTAGTGCGCGGTTTTGATAGTATGGGAGGAGGTAGTAGAGTAAGGGGAGGGTGAGCAAGATGGAGACTTGGATTAGGAGGCCCATCGTAGGTTCAGGCGCCTGTTGCTATTACATATCTTGTTCAGCTACTAGATCAGGACGCGCTATAGTCTGTTTCCAAGTCAATACGAACCCTCAAAAGTGTGTACAATATTCTGAATGTGTAAGGAAAGTCAGTCGTCTTGAGAATTTTCCTTATGGTGTCGTGCGGGGTCGTGTACGGAAAGGACGGTGTCCTATACGTATATCTTTCTAGCCTTTTGTTTCACTGCTGAATGTCCGATACGTCTACGTACAATCCCATCGAGCCGACTGATTGCTGCTTTGAACTCAAGGACCTCCGAACTCAATTGATATGCCGCACATTTTTGCAAGAGCTTATCTAAGAAGGAGCTGCGGATACGGTGTCTGTGCACAGTCCATTTGTTAGCGAAGATGCTAGGCTGCACAAGGAGGCCTTCACTATGTAGGGGACTAACCTTAGCCCACCATTACTACGCCCGTATAGGCAACTCGGTCAAGGTACGACAGGAATTGCAAGCTATACCAATTCGGGCTCACCGGTAATGCGCGTCGCAAGGCTGAAGCCACATAAATGCCCACGTTAGGATTCAATTTACAATTTCTTCTAAACTGTCTCAAGTCTTCTTGAAGACTGAACGAGAGAAACTCCTCTGAGATGGGTTATGGACGACTCAATGGATCCCTTCCCGCTGGAAGCTCTGCAGTCATTTGCCGCCGATCCACAGTTCTTAGCAGAGTTGGACGAAGTGATGAGCTCAACCCTTGTAGATGTCACTGAATCGGTACCATCGCTGGGACCTCCACAAGCATTGCCGGACACGCAATGGAGACAACTATATACCTCGACCCGCGCAAATGAGTACGATGACAATACTCATGCCCCCATTCAGGGCCGGGGAAATGCCCCCTGTCCGCCTGATGGGTCGTCTACCGGAATCATTGTATTTCCATCGGCAGATGACCGATTCCACAAGCCTAAACGGAGAAAATTAAATCAAGAGAAGCGGCAGGAAGTAGCACAGGTTCGAAAGGACGGGGCTTGCATGAGGTGCCATTTCAACAAGATTGCTGTGGGTTTAATACCCGCGCACCTCATCTTGCGATCCTATGATGCTGACATGACACAGTGCTCGACTGGCCAACCATGTAATACATGTAACTCACAATGGCTTTCTTTCAATGGTCGCACATCAAAGTTGCAATGGATGAGTTGCATCCCATATTCGTGGAGGGATGTCAATATCTTCGTGGCAGGTTCGCAGCGCCTCGAAACCTTGAAGAGTACAGCTCACAATTCCTAGACTCCCAGATCTGGAGCTCTGAAGTTTGGCAAGTATGCGAGCAATTAAGACAAGAAGAGACAAGGCTTCATTTCAAAGGAATGGTTTCGTGGGATATCGATGACTTGTCTGTAGATTTTGCAAAATGGATGACAGCCGAAGATACTCAACCTGCAGCAACAAGTCGCGTGGGCATTCTTTCGAGCACCCGATGCCAGGATTTGATCCGTCCTCACTTGCAGGGCGATTTGTGCAGTTATCTCGCTCTTCTGGTTAAGACTTCCTCTACCTTGTACAATCATCAATCCTCGCCCCACCCCCAGCACTCCTCCGAGGACCTTGCTTCTGCAAGATCTGCAGTTGGCAGTAACTTACTCATGCATCTTGAAAGCATCTTAAAACCCACGGCTTTGTCTGGAAACTCGAGGGAAACGCTTCAAGCTCTATTCTTGGCTATCCTTGGAACGATAATAGCAGTCACTTATACGAATTATGGAAACCATGACGACTCTCGCCGAGGACTTCTCTGCATCCTAACCCACTACATGATATTGATTGGAGAACGAGCGAATCTTCTGCAGTCTAACGCAATAAAGTTGCGACTGAATCAAGGCTGTCATACTCTGTGGAACAAGATTGGAAATTTTGAGTGGACATACGATATTCCGTCGGCTTGTAGTCACGTTTGTTCGCTAGCTTGTGTTGCAGGAACATCAAACGCAGACCCGCCGCTCTATATGGAAGACAAGCCATTATCAGATGTTCAACCTCACGCATTGGGTTCTTGGAGCTCGTTAGCGCTCGACGTTTTACCTCAGAGAGTAACCGATCCTGCCCCCAATTCAACTACGACATTTGATATTTCGCCGGCCTACAATTGGTCGGTCGATCTGAATGATGGGCTAAGCCACCTAAACGCCCCGACGGACATGACGAAATGCCCATTCTGCTGTCAAGCGCATAATTGGTATGAGCAGTGCTCCTGTTCTTACGGCCAGCCTTCTGATAAGGCCAATCGTACAGAGGTGATGAAGCCTGCTTCCCTTGATCGAGTGAAACAGTTGTCGCCTTCTCATGTTCCATACCCCGAGTTTCAACAGATCAATGCGTTATCTACTGAGAGCAACCCAGCTTTGACTCCACACGACGATGGTAATAATGAAGCGCTAATGCAAGAGTCTGTATCCTATATTTCACAGCCATCGAGATACAGACTCAGCTCTAACCCATCTAATACATCTTTGGAGATCATGGGAAATCCCAACGTGGCTTCTGTTATAGGAAAGGCAGAGCGCAGAACACGAAGAACAACAAGCAAAATCACGAAAGCGATGAAAAATCTGGGGAGGAGAACAACACCATCGCAAGCAACCACAGCGAAGACCACATTTGCTCCGAACGCTGGATGGAGTCGCTTCGAGCAGCCGATGCCGGTGGAAAAATTTTATGGCCTAGAGATATGCGCTCAATGTAACGCTTTGGTCGATACTGCCAACCAACTCAGACCAACAGGCACATGCAAGCATGTGCAATGCTTCAAGTGCAAGATCACGCACACTATATCGGGTACCTGTAGAAGCGACTTCTGGACTTGTTGCTCTTGTGGACATGGCCCCAAGCCGACACTTCCCTCGTCGAGAGTTTGTGGTAGTTTTACTCGGTTCCATACGTCGGTGCCTGTCTGCACTTGTGGTGCGAATTGCAATTGCGTGAAGGTTGACTGGTCTACGAAACTTCTTGTGTGAGCTGTCAGGAGATCTCGGCTTGAAACCGAGATAGCTGGAACAACGGAGTTGACGAATGGCCTTTGTCTCCTCAAAGTATTCGTTGAAAAGATCCTAAGGAATTTATGGGGTGTCGACATGTCGCTTGAAGCTTGTCGACAGAGAGTACACACTCACTTGGTTTTGGCGGGGTTATTCGATTGCGTCAGATCCATACGCGATCCATTCTGATGGCACAAAGCGACAAGGACTTTTTTTAGGTGCTTTGTCCGACTTCTTGCACTCGCAGCTGCAGACGTTTATGAATGAAAGCGGGTCTTAAGGCTATACCATAATAACGACACGATGATCTCTTTACCTTCGTCTCTTGAGTGATGCGGAGCAACGTCGCCCTCGCGACTCCTGACTTGTTCAGCATGCTAAATGCCATTTTCAAATATTCTCGGAGATCACGCACAAAAAATTGGGAAGTTCAGCGCCGAAAGCCAATTCGATTGATCATGAGGTAGCATACGAACATTAGACTCTCGCACCAAGCTTGAGGCGCTTGCAACGTTGTTAAGCCACATACTACTTCCTGGAACCTCGGCCTTGTTGACCGAAGCCGGACGTGCGTATTTAGGGGCGATGATGAGTCTAGACTCTGGACTCTAGGGCACTAAGTATGTAGTGCTGCATTAGCGGTGCCCTGTGCTGAGCTGGCGCAGGGCTGAGGACCGCTAAGATACACGCGCCAACGGTGACTCGCCGAGATGATAGAGTAGCCAAGTCAGCAACCGCTGACGTTCGGGTTGCTAAACAGAGCCTTTTTAGGAAAATCTAAGCATTTGGATTTCGTATTACCTGACGTCGAGATTCAAAACTAGCTCCGACGGACCATGACGCTAGAAACTTCCAAGCTTGTTCTTCCACCTGTCGTACTGTGGCTGGAAAGGGACCAGCTGAATGTCACTCGCTTAGCAAACCATGCATTGTGACCATGCCTTCCTATGGGGCTACAAGCAAGGTACGATACTCACCGTGAAGAGTGAGACGTTGCACTGCCTCTTCGGTAATGTCAAAGTGAGCGGGCGGTATGTATGGGCCGAGTGCAATGACCTCGATCTTCAAAATTTTCGTTGCGTATATATATATGCCACCCTTTGCCACCTGAGAGAAGGCCATCAACTTCAAGTTTCCTGAAAGTGCAATACTTGCAGATCTACGGCCATCCCTCTACGTTGAATACCTACAAGTACATCCACCAGAATGGGCGGCCCCTCAGTTACCCTCATCACCCCCTTCACAACAATCAAATCAATCTCACATCCTCCACGCCGAATCTCCATCCCGACCATCAAGCCCCTACCAGCTCCAAGAGAACCCGCCAAATCACCAGTCAGCCCAACCCAAAGTCTATCCTCTCCCCGTCAAACTCGCTTCCACGAACACCTCGACCCGCCCTGCCCAGCAACCTCGACCCACACACCTCTCTACCACCTACAAACCCTCTACCTCTTCACCCACTCCGACCTCAAAAACATCCTCGTCCCCCAAACCCTCCTAGGCCTCATCACAGCTCTGACCTGCTCCCCCACCGCACCCACCATCACCGACCTCCTCCCGCGCCTCCCCCTCGCCCTCTGCTGGGTCTGGCTCCACCTCCTCCACTTCACCACCTCGAACCAAACCGCGCCGCGCGCTCAGGCCGAAGACGCTAAAAATAAACCATGGCGCCCTCTGCCCGCTGGCCGCATCACGCACTCTTCTGCAAGGAAACTCTTCTGGGCGTCGTCTGTTCTGTGCTTCGGCTTCAGCATCGCCGTGTCCGGGGGAGGGAGTGGCGGGAGAGTCTGGCGCTTATGGCGCTCACGCTGCTCTATAACGACGGTGGAGTGGGCGACTCGACGTTCGTTGCAAGAGCGGCGGTTAATGCGTTGGGGTATACGACGTTTGGGATGGGTGCTATGCGTGTGTTTCTTGACGGCGGTGCTGGGCCGGACGGTAAGGCATATGCCTGGCTCGCGATTCTGACGGCCGTCATCTTCACTACGGGCCATGTCTCGGATCTGGAGGATTTGCAGGGCGATAAGGAGAGTGCACGGAATACCGTGCCTGTGCTCTGTGGCGAGCGGGTTGCGAGGTGGAGTATTGTTTTGCCGATGCTCGTTTGGATGATGGTGGTGCCGAGGTTCTGGGGGAGCGTGGGAGTGGGGAATGTGATTGTGTTTGCACTCGGGGGCTTGGTGGTGAGGAGATTGGTGAGAGGGGATGACAGTAAGGAAGGGTATAGGAGCACGTATAAATTGTGGACGCTTTGGGTGGTGGGGATGTATTTGTTGCCGTTGTTCGGAAGCTGAGGGGTTACATGGATGTATTTACGAAAGGTCATGATAGTCGTGGCTTGCTATAAGTTGCGATCGAAGATGTTCCTACTTCGAACCCTAGATTTGACTGCAGCTATGCGCTCTCATATATGGTACAGACCTTCTCTGTAACCTAGTGCGTAGACAAGATTTCTTTTCGAAGAATTCGTCGAGCAGTCAGGGAAAGCGTTCGCGAGTCAAATTCTGCTGCCCGGCTTTCGGATCGGATCATACTTTTTCCGGCCTGGCTCTCAAACTTTCAGCTGTCAGCCTTTCGACCTCAGCTACTCTGTTGTGCTCTACTCTTGAGGTTGTCGCACCGGAAAACACTTTTCATCAAGTGGTCATGATGACTCATCCTAGTCTTTGGGAAGGTCGCACCGGGCGAACGCGAGCTTACTATTCCAATAGCGATGGCGCTTATGTCTTTTCAGCACAAACAATCATCGACAAGGCTCTCCAAGACGACAGCACAGATCAACGTCAGAGAAGACCTGCAGTCTGTGTCATTGAAAACATCAGCCCTCAATGGACTCAAGTCATCGGTGAAGCTTGGAACATAGCACCAGACTTCTTCCTTGCTCACGCCAACAATCCCTCGAAAGAAAATCTATGGAATAATCTTTTCAATCATGTACCAGACGAGATGCATTCTCCGACGGCTGAGAATCCAAGCTCTGTCCACATTACGGGCGTCTTCGAATATCCGTATTGGCACATCAGGAAGGGCAGACGACTAGAGTCGAGCCCGGGTCACTTCAGAAGGCATTGTTGGGAAGGTCCCGACCCGTATCCAGTCGCTTCAAACACTCGAATCTCATACTCTCGCGTGAAGCCACATCTCTGTTAGTGGTCTCTTCTCATGTTTTTCAGACAAGCTGACAGTGTTTATGAAAGATCTCATCCTGGTCGACGCACCGGTAAACCTTGCTCGGGACTGTTATCTAACACATCCTCGTTCTCGCCCAACTCTTCGAGTACCATGCTCAATAAGTCGTGGCGGCTTGGTGATCCCGTCACTCTATAGTGTTGCCAATGGAGGTCTCTTTGATTCTTTTGTTGACTTTTTCACACATCGCTGGCACTTTCGCATCTTGTATTCTAACCGGCTTTCGGCATTAGAAGCAGCTCCGGGATCCTCAGTATTTTATGCACTATCATCTTCCTTATGGACTACCAATTTAAAGTTCTTAGATCGTGAGATCAAGCGCATCAGTTTCAATGATTTGCGGCAACCCAGCATGAAGATCAACTCTCAGCTTCACGACCGCCGTGAAGATCTTGTCATACTTAAAGACTTCGTCTTGGAAAGCGAAAAATGGATGCCTGAATCCGTGCCTATGTGGCACGATTCTGCTTGGTCAAATGAATCATTTCCTCGAAATTCATTCAACGAAATTATAAAGGGGGCGGATACTCTGTCACAGTTTCTCATGGACAGCTTCCAGTTGCTGATGAGCACAGTGAGCACTCAAGATTCACATACAAGCCTAGAACAAGCTAGGCGTGGCGCAAGACTCACGCAGCTTGCTTTTATTTACGTGCCTCTGAGTTTCGTGACAGGTATTTTCGGTATGAATTTGAAAGAGATCAATAGCAGTCTGCTGAGTGCCTGGGTCACTGTTGTTACACTGGCAATTGTAGCAGTATGTACTACGGCGGTCCTCTGGCTTCTCGACTTGATTAGGAGGCGTAAACAAATGGTGAATCAGCATCTAGAAAGGTACACCGAAGAGTATTGGTTTAGATACGGCCAAGACTCGGGTATGAATCCGAAAGTCTCACTGAAAAGTCTAGCAACGATGGATAATGAATACTCAACCACTGTACGATCATTGTCTCCCAAGGTTTCAAGCAATACCACGGAGATGACAAGAATGCAGTGAAAAGGGTACTGTTGAAACATGGGGCTGTGAAAATGGGCGTTGCTTCACATCTACGATCCACCTTTCCGCTTCAGAAGAAGAATCTAGAGAAGTCTCTTATTGTTGTAAAATTCAGGAAGAAGGCAGACCTCAAGTTCAATCTAACACGAACGATAACTAGGGGGGATGAGGATGACTCGAGCGTTTTTGCTCTCCGCCAACACAATCTTATCCGGCAGACCTAAAGAGCAGAATCGGAGGCGATAGCACGACGATCTTATTGATGTGTATTAGAATAGCTTTGTATTAGAATAGCTTTGTAGTCGTTGGAGGGGAATGCAGGGTCAGAAAAGCAATTCATGAGGCCGCAATTTTATCGTGACGGCGCGCAATAGGACATCTCAAGCTGGAAAATACACGATATCGTTATTGTAATCATCCAATTACTTGAATAGGCACTGCTATCGAAGGCTGTGTATGCACAGACAACATACGTGACCAACGAAAGTAGACACCATCTTCAAAGCTCAAAATACTGACATTTCTAGCAAGCTTCGAATTTTGTATCAACTCAGGAAATCAAAATATAGCCTCTAGACGTATAGGTATTGGCATCTATGGAAAGCATTACTCCCTCATTGTTTAATCCTCTTATTAGGTCAACAAACTTGCGGGTACTCTAAGACCACTGATCAGGCCTTGCGAGTCTAGTGACAAAGTATTACTCATTGTTCAGGGAAGCGACAGTCCTCAACCACGAGACGCATGGAGTCTTCCCACCTTCTGTCCGCTCTCACAACATGTTTTCTAGCAGACGTGGTCTCGCACCTGATAATTTTCATCTACGGCAACCACCACATCCACGCCCCTTAGATCGCAGGTCTAGCACTCACAATCCCCGCAATCATCACCATCCTTCAAATCCACACTTCCAACACTACCTTCACCCAATCATCCCAAAACACCACCTACATAGCCCTATCCTACCCTACCAGGGTCTTCTCCAGCACCCTCCTTTACCACTTCTTCCTCCCCCCCCTTCACCCCTTTCTCGGCCCAACCACCAAGAAACTCACAAACTCGCGCACGTCCACCGCTCACGTAAACTAGATAACTACCTCAAAACCAACGCCTTGCGCAACCAATACGGTGACTTCGTCCACACGGGCCCTAACGAACTCAGCATTTTCAAAGCTGAAGCGCATGTCGTGTTGCATGGCCCCGCAGTCTAAGTGCACGAAGGCGCCGTGGTGAGGATGCATGATTATACTCCGGTTGCGTCGGAGCCGTTGCGCTTGGCTAGCAGGAGGTTGTGGCTTTAGTTGTGAACATTTCATTTCATGGTCGATTTAGGTGGAGAAGAGCTGCGGGTACATAAGGTGGTTGCTACATGTACTTTGCTTTCTGTTTGTGAGTCAAGGCATACGGTAAATGGTCTGCTAATGAGCTTGGTATGAAGGCGAAGGAATGGAACATTATATGATGCTAGGACTTTGGTGGCTGCTATCGCACTGTAGGGATTGTTGAGAGACCGGCACCTGAAGCAGTGAGCTAACCCATAGTCTACCGTGGTGTCTGTTCTGTCAGTAACTAGCTTCATACGCCCCCTGAAAGAACAGAAAAAGAGTACCCTAAAAATTAGACTACTAAAGAACGCCGTTAAGAAAAAAGATACTACCTCCGCTAAATAGTTAGATAGCTAGTCTATAAGTACTCTATAATACTAGTATATTAGTCGCTACTACTTAATTATAAAGACTATTATAAGACTAGTACTTGAAGTAAAACTCTAAAAACCCCTAATATTATTTTATTATTATTTTTAAAAAATACCTTTTAATTAGCGCAAATATAGTATTTAACTATTAAAGAGAGGTAAGATTAATTCTATCTTTAAAAAGTAGTTAGTAAATTAAAATTTTATCCCCTTTTTATAAATAAGTAAACTAGTAAGAAAAGTTATAAATATATTTTAAAAAGTCTTTTTACTTTAATAGTAATTATAAATTTTATACTTATTAAAATACTTAAAAATTATAATTTAAAAATATTATCTTCTTTATTAAATAATAAAAAAATTACTTTTCTTTAAACTTACTATTTAAATATAAGTTATATATAAAAAAGCTATATAGAGTAGTACTCTTTTTATTTATAAATATTAATATTATATTAAAATTATATAAATTATTTACTTAACTAAATAAGCTTTATTTTATTATTATTAATAATATATTAATTTTAACTATTTTATTTTCTTATATATTATTCTTTTTATTTTAAGTATTAAAAATTAGTATAAATAAGTGTTTTATATTTACTATACTATTACTTTAAATCCTATCTAAAGCTTAATAAATATATTTATTCTAAGAGAATTTATTTAAAATATTTATTATGCTATTAATAAGTAAAGTCTTTATTAAAGTAGTATTTAGTAATTTAGTAATTTTAATATACTTATTATACTATATAAGAGCTTATTCATATATAGCTAAATAAGTAGTAATAAAAGGTACTATTATTCTTATTCTACTTAAGTAGTAATAAAAGCTATTAAGCGCTTTACTATCTATATTAAGTAAGCTTATAATATCTTATATTTTAAATAAGCTTAGCTATTCTTTATCTTTAGCCAAAAATACTAAATCTTAACTTATAGTAGAAAGAATAATAGTATTAAAGATAATAATATTAGGTCTAAGCCTATTAATATTAAGTTTTCCTAAATTATTATAATTTATAATATTATATAGCTTTACTAATTAACTATTCTTACTATATCTATTGTTATTTACTTGCTGTAAGGAAACGCAGTGCGTAGAGACCTTAATAAGCAATATATGCAATGTGGTTGGTTAATAATAGATTTATTGTAAGCTATCTAACAAGCTGTGGTGGAAGTAGGGCCTCATGCCAAGCCGGGTAGGGCTGAGCTAAGCCTAATCGGGACATCCCCATCCTGCTCTCATTATGATCCGTGACACTTGCTATTAGTTTTAAGTAACACTAACTTTAATACTATTTTTGCTATTTATAGCACTCGCGGTCGAATTTGCTTTATTCTTTACTTTATATACTTCGTCTTACTTGTTTCCTGCAAATTGGCAATATGGGACCTTGGGTTCGCCCCATAGCAGGAAATCAACATCTAAGGCATCTCCTTTCGTCTATGAATAATTGTTCACATACGACCCTTCTTTGAGAGCCTGTTCAAGTAGAAGTGAACGACTTCCAATTTTTGAATAATTATTATTAGGGTCATAAAGAAAAGAGACTGAACGATGAGTTGTGCCCCAAGAGCTGTGGCTGCCACCAACCCTATTTCCTCTAAAACTCCATTACCTGAGACAAAACCGCTAATAATTGTACTGGAATGTCCCATGCTGGAATATCGTCTCTAGGGAAAGAGGAGGGTAAAGAGAGGATGTTGCTGGAAAAGACGAACATGTAGCCGTGACGTCACCTGGCGCTAGAGCCGAAGAAGCTTAGACTCCCATGATCAGGCTGAAGACTCACGTCCTTCTCTTCACATCCAAGACGGTCATAAGGTTCAATTGCTTCAATGTCATGCCGCTGATAAAGCCGCCCATGGATTCCATGAATCACCCAAGGGAGATGCAGCCCTACCGAGACAGTGCTGAGGAATGCATTGCAGCGCTAGAGGTCCTTCGAGAGCGCGCGCAGAAGGAAGAATCTTCTCCATCTAATACGGTCCAAGAAAAGGATGTTCTACTCTTAGTCGCTATATATCAAGCTGAGAAGACTATTTCATCACTCAGAAGCGTGATTGTGCTTACGTCTAGCATAGAACAGGTCCTTGGAGATTCAGATGGCACTTCCAAGCTAGCCGCTCTCCTCGATGAATTGTTCGACACCATCCCTAAAACAATTGCTGATGCTGATGCTGCTCTGGCCGAACTTCTCAAGTCTCGGCAGCTGCGCTATTTGTCGAAGCCGTACGAGGGATCAACCACTGTAAAGTTCGCAAAAAGACTGACTTACGACTAGATTCTACGCCAGTCGTCTCAAACAAGCCGAGAGAACCATTAACAAGAGCATTGTCGAGCTCGCTTCCGCTTGTAAATCAATCACATCAGTAAAGGAAGCGTTAGACGAAAACGAAGGCAGATTGAGACGGCTCAAAACGTATAATACACTTTTGAGAAATTTAGCGAGCTTGAATCCTTCGGATGATCCAAACCTTCGTGAAACAGGACTTCGTATGATGTGGGAGGAAATTCCTCACTGGCCGGATATTGAAGCCTTGCTCGAGCTCCGAGATGACCCAGGAGATGGGTTGGTTTACAATGATAAGCAGATAGCGCAAGTCCAAACTGTCTTGGAGAATTTTCATGATGCTTGGGTCAACACACCGGCCCTAGAAGGAATACAGCCTCCGCGAAACATCCGTTATCTCCCCCGCATCTGCTGTGTTCTTCGGGGTATGCGGCGAGAAAATCTGTTGGGGGCCTTTATAGATAGCGGATGTACCGACAACGACATCCGTTTCTCCGAAGCTCATTTGATCGAGATTCTTTCTGGCTTCAGCAAAGACTATGCTAAAATATTTTTCACAGAACAGAGCCGCGTAAAACCTCGAGATTGGCCCGAGGGTTCCCATGCTGTATTCGGTGAAAAAGAACCGTTGCCGCTAGTTGCCGACATTCCAATGACTGACACCCTCCATGGACATTCTCTCACAAGCAGGAATGTGCAGTCTGGCGATCGATATGTTGTAAAACAAACAAAATTACGAGGTCGCGAAATGATGAAGAGGGAAATGAGGAACTTGAAGAAGCTTGAACACCGACACATCGTGAAATTCGTGAAGTCATTTGAGCGCGGGCTTATATTTGGGCTTCTGCTAAAGCCTGCCGCTGCCTACGATCTCAATACCTATTTGCGTAGGTTTAAACAAAACAAGTTCTATGCCAAAACGGGAGTTCGTGACGGTGTGTGGCTTCGCGAAGCTTTTCTCACGGCTTTTGGTTGCCTCTCGCAGGGTCTGTTGTTCATGCACCGACAGGGAATTCGCCATAGAAATATGTACGTGTTTCCATAGTCTGAAGTCCTGATTTTAACGATGGAGATCAACAAGAATGTTGGTGAAGTCGTCTTCTATGATATAAATGGCTGACCAAGAGGATTTTTAGTCAACCTAGCAGCATTCTTTTCACAACTATCACCGCGGGCCTCGAAGGCCTAATTCTCTGGTCAAATTTTGGATTAGCTTCGGATGGCAATGAGGAAGCAATTCAGACCGCCCAGATCATCACTAATCGCTATGCGGCCCCAGAACTCCTGGGAACGATAGAAAAAGGGTGTTCTGAAGGTTTCGATAACGCATATAAGACCTCCAGGGTGGGAGAACTCAGGAAACAGACTAAAGCCGGGGGCGAATATACTTCCAGTGAAACCAGAAAGCTTCGCGCGAAGGAAGTAGATATCTTCAGCTTGGGCTGCGTCTTTCTCGAGCTACTAAGCTGCATTACAGGTGATACTTTGCCAATTCTGGACGAAGATGGAGAGAAGCTCAGCTCTTTCGCTCTTCAAATCCACGACGTTCGTGCGTGGGCGGCACGTAAATCGAGTAGTGATGAGTTCAAGGAACTGCGCGATATTTTTGACTTAGCTTCAGCTATGATCAATGAAAGGGCGGAAGAACGACCCGATATAGATGACATTGTACAGAGGATCATGGAAGCGGGAGAATTTTTTTCCTGTAAGACTTGTCGATACGAGTACGAGAGTGATGTCCGAGTCACCTTAATGCAGCCACTCATAAATCGAATCGAACAGCCAGAGCAAAAGTCAGAGACCCTCACACAAAGACAGGAGTCGTTGATGAGAGAAAATGAGCTACAGATGGGAGAGCGGCGTGACAGCAGCGAAGTAGATGATGACATCAATTCTTTGTTCTCCGTCCCCTCCATTGGTGTCTCTTCATTCTCCAGTTTCTCCAGCATTCAGCATAATGACATGCAGGATGAAATTGAGGAGCTTTCATCACTTCTGATCGCTGATAATGGGATTCTCGAACTACTAGAGATGGCAATCAACAGACCTCATGCTAGACCGAAAATTGAGTCCAAATTATCACGTCTTCTGAAAGTGTTCGGCGGGGATCTAAGGAAGGAGGCGAATGATGAAATCCAGGTAGCTGCGGCGAGACTCATACGGACTAAGGCGAATAAGCTCACGACCAGCATGCTGAGAAACCATGAGTTAAATCGCGCTGGAACTGATCTCAACGACGCAACGTCAGGCTGGGAGACAACAAACGTCGACAGGACCATCAAAGTACAGACAAAGCTATATTCTATCCTTCGGACAAATCCACAGGCTGAAGAGGATAATGATGGCGGCGACGATGACGACAATAATGATGATGATGTATGGTCCAGAGCCTCTTCTGAAGAGGTTGACCCTGACAACGACTTTGATGTAGGCCTAAAGTCTTTGAATGATCTTAAGAGTTTCATCATATCCAGCCAAGCTTTTGACCATTTCAGAGCCTTGCTTCGGCGTATGGTCTTCCCGAGTCCACTACGCGAAGTCAAGTGGGTTATCTCTAAGGCTTTATCATTACCAAGCAAAACCTACTCCGTCACATTCACAGTGAAATGGGATGTTCAAGCGTACATAGCGACCGAACTCGAACATAGTCGTGGTCTTGGATGGAAGCAGCCTTTGCTTAGTAAGGTGCTCACAGTATGTGGTTCTAGGAGAGCAGCCATCTGTACAACAGCAGAGTCTTATATCATTTGGAAATGGCCCAAAGCCAAGTTCAATATCCTTGAGTTCCTCGATGCTCTTCTCACATCGCAAAGTAACGGTATGTTTCGCTTGATCAGACTTCGAGGTCCCCCTAACAAAACAACGCAGGCGAACAATACTACTCTTTGGATGTTGACGATAGCTATCTCGTCTGCAGAGCATCAGATGAAACCCCCAGCTTGGATCCTGGAGACTTGAGTCTTGAATGCAAAGCGTCTCTCACAGACATAGTCGACGTTGCTCAGCAACTCACCTGGCTTTCAGCTAGTTTTAGGTCCTGCAAACAGAGCCATCTATGCTATTCACAAGTCGACTTCCGGAAGTCAGGTACTTATAAATTTGATATAAATCCTTTGACCTTGGAAGAAATCCACGACTTGGGAGGCGAATGCTGGCTACCACTATTCATGAACGGTGTCATTGCTCGTGGATTCCCAGTGCCTTCGCGACATCATGGTGAGAAAGGCATTGAGATCCCTTTCCACGTCATGGTTAGTCTAGGCAAAGTCATGTATCCAATGTTCGATTCACACGGCATCTACTTGAAGGGTGTCTACAGCGTCTTCTTTCCGACGGCCATATCATCTGACAAGACTTCAGTGCAGTGGCATATGTCCACTGACTCCAATCATAAAGATTACTTGCCGCCAGGACAATTTCCCAACCAAGTGCGTGAGGGACTGACATTGAAGTTTGAAAGCCTTGAAGAATTATCCTCGGCTGAGAGGACGTTTCTCGGCTACGTTAGGTCAATTGAAGCACATATAGGCACAAGTTCCGTGGTCGCATCCGAAAGTGTTCGAGCAACAATGTCATCTGCTGCATACGATGAAGATCCAGCTACAGCCGTAGAGATCAACAAGATTCAGACTGGCACAAGTGGGCTTGGATTCTGGGGGTTTCAAGCCGAGGCGGACATTCTCTATCCCAAGGGGCTACACTACACGGCTGAAACTGGCTGGTATATCGACATGCTGGACATAGCCAAAGTCAGACCTTTAATTGTCTATGATCACGCACGAGAGCACCAACGCGCCTGGCTGATACCAACATTAAGCGCAGTTCTTCACATGGCGCATGTGTGGGGCCGCGACAAACGTGACGTTGGCCTACTACCTTTTGCTGAAGTGAGCTGCGATCCCGGCGAGGCTGCCTATCAGGCTATTAGAGAACATAGTAAAGACAAGTTACGAGACTCCTTGGAGGAGCGTAAAGACTATTTGGTTCGAGATCTGGTGGGCAGGCTCTTAATATGCATAGAGAAGCTACTCGAAGTGGAAGCTAAAGCGCGAAGCGAACCTCGCAAGATCATCAGCTTCGAAACCTCTAACAAGCTCTATGGTTGGGATCTTCTAGGGATTGCGCAAGGTGATGGTAACATTTCGCGCCAGGAATTATCTATCGACGAGGAGTGGAGATTACTCGGCGCAGATATCGCAGTCTTGTTCTGCCAGAACATTGGCGAGCTCATAAGACCCGCCCAAAGCGTCAAGATTTGTATGAGAGCGGATGCTGCAAAACTCTCAAACAACCATCTGATCGCCACTGTCAAATGTCTTCGGTGGCTTTCAGATAAACGAGGGAAGTCTCGGGATAGTTCATGCCTCCGGCTCGGAAACAAGCTGTTCTGGGTCTCACCAGGCGAATCCCTCTTCAATGATTGCACTAGCTGCTGGAATAATAGACTACACTTAGGAGTCACGCAATGCTTGAAACAGGCGCAGCCAATTCTCAGGAAAGACTGCCCAGACCCAAAGACGGGACCCCCGCCCTTAGAAGGCGCAGTCGTATTTGGAACGAGGAAACTTCTCAAGGCCCGCTCGCCCACCCCTGAAACCTCATCTTTGAGTCAGTCACAATCGTCAGAGACACAAGCAAGTAGCGTTTCAACTCCTCAGAGCATTGATGCCGTAGCTGGAGCGAATGAGAACCAGACTGGTATTGAAAGGGGGTTGGACAAAGGGAGCAGCGGAAGAGAGACAACATAAAAAGGCGAATTAGATCGTTATTTTGATCAATACGGCCAAAGAGTTTGCTTGACAGACGACTTTTCTATCACATTGGGCTACACTGACAGAATACCTCCGTACGGGCGCTTTTTAAGGCTTATCTCACTCTTGAAGGCTTTTAGGCCTGCACCAGATAGTCGTTAAGAGTTGCCCTGCCAGGAAGGCTGTCAAGATTAATGCTTTAGGGATACCACTTGACTCCATATGGCTTTCTCCAGTAATCTCGTCACCTCTGAAAGGCGAGAGGGGCAATTGGGGTCCTCAACCACTAAGATACTCCGAGTAGACCAAGACAAGCCACTTCCGAACTGCTACAACGGCCTGGAAACAAGATCTCATGCAGCTGTCATCAAAATTGGGCTAGTTTGGCGGTAAAAGGAGGACACCTGAGCTCTATGTCGAAGTGCAAGACTGGTGCCGTGGCCGTTCGCAAAGAGTACGCAGACTTGAAAAGCTCTAGTCATTTTGAAGATCGGCCAGAAACAAGGCCAATCCCTCGAATCCGACAAGCGTACAAGTGATAGCAAGAACATCTGCCTATTTCACGAGCACGCAGCTTCCTCATCCTCAAAGCTGTCCTCCCCTGGATCTACAAATCATGTTCATCTTCCACCATCTCTCCTGTGAACCACTACAATCGGCATCTCAGATGATTCGTCAAGTCGGTTGCTGAGTCAATTCTAACATCTCCGCCCAGGCTACTACTGTGCCATACTTCGCACATCTCCATACATCAAACACCTACCAACTCCCCAATACCCACTAACGCCAACCAACCAAATCCCCACACCCTACGTACACCCCCCGGCCGATTTCTGTAACAAACATCGCCCCCCTGGCTCCCACTCCCATCATACCCCTCACAAGAAACCCTATCCCTCTTCTGCGCCTTCACCTCATCATCGCACATCTTCCACGTACTCGTAACCCCCCCCACCCGCACCGTATACGTGCTCCAGCTCAAGCAGCAATTCGAGCCCGACACCTGCTGACACTGACTCCGCGGCGCCTGGTCAACTTTCAAATTGAACTGACACATCGTCCCTGACACGCAGGAGAAGAACGCCGCGCACGCGCCCTACGATATCGCGTGTCCGTGCCCCAGGAGGAATTGCGAACCTTGCCGCTTTGAGACTGCGGGAGGGAGGTGGGGGATAGCGGTGCCGTTGACCGCTGCGAGCAAGGTGTGCACGTCGGAGACCATGTCTATGTCGTAAGGATCGAAGGTTTCGCGTAAGCCGCTCCGGTTATCAGCTCAGCTTTCTCCTCGTCCGTCGAACCGGATGCGGGGTCGATGGCTGAAAGCCACGATTGCGTGCTTGAGCTCAGCCCGTGGAATCGTACGTCGATGTCGAAGCGGCTCAGGTCGGCTTTGGCTTGCGGGAATATGGTGGAGATGTTGTGGGAGATTACGATGCTGTTGTCGGGGGTTGGGGCTGGGTGGGCGGTGGTGGTGGTAGTGGTGAGGTAGAGAGTTGTGAGAAGGGTTATGAGGTACATTTTTCGGGATGGCATTTTATTGAGATGGTGCGAAGGTTTCGGGGATATGGAGGGTTTTACTGGAGAAAGAGGCTCAACGTGATACTGTGGGGGGTGGGGAATTGAGGCTACATTTTTCTTTTTGTATGATGAGACCAGGCATCATGTTGATGCTACGGACACTACCTGACAAATTTCATGTCTCAGTTGGAATGGAATCGTCTCCTTGCAAACCGCTGATCTACTTTGACATGTTCAAGCATTCGATGAAGTCCATCGTCCGTTTGGGAAACCACATCCAACCCGCCTGGCTGATTCAACATCACAGGCAGAATCAGCGGTAAAGACTAGCAAGAGGGTCGGGAATCTTGTATTGCTGTTTTGGAAGCAAGGCTGAAGGCGTAAGAGGCCAAGACATGATGGGGCTGAGTGGGGGCCCCGCGGATTCATAGTGAAACAAACCGTGAGGCTGTGCTCACGTGCTTTTGGAGATATCTTACAAGTCGAGCCGATTGTCAGTTCATGTCCTAGAGGGTTGACTCGTGTCAGGTCGCTGTCGCTTGATGCGCCCGTTTTCACTATCATATAGGAGATTACACCATCAACGTTCGCTGAAAATGGCTCTCTCGAATCGTTGTTGACAGCCGTGATTGAAGAGGCGTAGGGGCAGCGACGATTTGGTACAACATGATGAGTCCGCTGAGTCGGCAAGACTAGCTATTACGACGGGCTCGAATGAGTGACGAGACAGTCAATGCTCGAAAGGCAAATCGGGTCCGCCAACGACAGCAGTAAACACAAGCAATCATGAACACTAAAGTCGCAACGTTCGCAGATGAGTCGAGAGAGAAAGCCACGTTACAGAAGCCTAAAATGTAGTTCATGTATCCTCCACCTCACGCGGGCTGTGCTACTGCGAAACACCTTGCGATTTGCGAGGCGGAAACGGCTTGGGACTTCCGACACCAACATTTCTATCGCGGATACAGTGTGATAGGTCCGCTGGTAAATAATAGTTATCTTGGATTAACTGCAATATACTTGACTGTGCGCTACTGATCTCGATCTTTCTTGGAGTTACGCTTGATTTGGGCTTGATCATACACCACAGTCAAGGTTTCGCGATTCGTGGCATTTCGGCTATTGCGAAACATCCAAGAGCTAGACCGACAGGCCAGTAGGTAGTCTCAGCCTCATCACTACGTATTATTGATGGTATCAAGGTCTGTTACCCACTTTAAACGTCTTTAATCGCGTCACAGATGCCGTTGATGTGCTCTGTGGCTCGGTGTAGCCGTAATAGCTCGTCCAATGAAGCTTTAGCTGGGGGCTTCATCGTCACAAAACCCGGCGGAATGAAATAGTGACCGCTTTTGACATCTGCTCGTATTGTAATTCATTACCAAACAGTACATTGACAGCCTTTCACGTCGTAGTCACCTGAGTTTGATGATCCGGAAAGTCATGGAAGGTAGATTCTCCAAACGAGACGTATTGTTCAGGGATGGAGGGACATGTTGACAGGTGCGTTGGTAGATATGCGGTATGGTGACTATCAATGTTGTCGTCTGGATTGCGCCAGAAGGCCTTCAGTAGCATCCATTCCTCCTTGATCCAATGCCCAGCAGCGAGCGCTCTTGTAACACCGACGCTCACGACGTGTGTTGTTGTGGCAGGTAAACTCCGCTCTTCTCTTGAAGCTTGCTTCGCTTGGGCAGTCATCGAGGTTCTCATCTGAGGCGATTCTCCACCCTCGTCATCATGTCGGTCACTTGTTGTTTGATCCCTCGTATCGAAGATACGTCTCAAGAGTGTAGCAGCGGATGTCATGAGAGCTTGATGATATTTCCCTAAGAAAGCAGCCACAACAACGAGACCTATCGTGACCCAAGGACTCCAAGCGCCAACATGGTTGTCCGGCTCGTTCTGTGGAACGAATGCCAGGAGCGCTTCGAATACCGCGAGATTGGCAAGGAAGAGCAATACAGACAGTATGCTAGCAATGACGGCCCAGAGGTAAGTAAGCATCGCAATGTATCTGGCAAGTTGTCTCCGCCAGGGTCCGCTCGTTCCCTCAACTTTCTCAAAAGGAGGCATCCTGTAAATCAGGCGTATATCTCGCAGAAAGGTGTAGATTGCATCTCTCGCTTGATGAGGGGTTCTTTTCCCAAAACACAGCGCCCAGATACCCTGAAGCACAAGGAACATTGCCAACACCGTGCCGAACCACCTGTACATTCCATAGAAAGAGTGCTTGGCAAATACATCATCAAATCGCACAATGTCTGATTTCGACAACAGTTAAAGATCCGAGTACGTACGAAAAATCGCCGGCGGGCCATAAAACGACGACGACTGCCGGCAAGGATCGGTGCAGCCATTGGCTTGAATCCACTCCGCATCCACAATGAAATGATCCCAAAACGTATCCTCGCGCCTCGTCGCCTGTCCCGCCTCATCCACCATCCCCCCTGCGCCGGATGGCACGCAATGGGATTCATATTCGAGAAATTCCGTATATGATTGACACCCCCCCACACCGGTGTCAAAATGGTAACTAACCCGACCAAGACCAGCACGCCCCAATAGATCACGATCGTCCTCGCGCCCATCATGCGACCCCAGCGTGCGCAGCGTGTTCGACCAATTGATCAACGGCAAGGTGATCAGGCATGATGTGCTCAATATCGCGATCAGGGGGAATATGCCCAGTTCGCCGTACGAGGGGCTCCGCCATACGAGCAGACAGGCGTGGATGGCGGCGCAGCCGGAGTATGTTAGGGCAGAGGCGAGAGCGCCGGCGATGAGCCATTCGAAGTGCGAGGCTAGTAGGCCGAAGATCAGGACGCTGTAGAAGAGGAGGCGGGGGAGGCGGCCGTAGTTGCCCTGTGTGAGTGAGTCAGTGGGGGGGTTGAGATGTGGGGGATGGGTGGAAGGGAGTAGTGGTGTTTGGGTAGGTGGGGGAAGGGAGAGAGGAGGGAGACAGACTGAGATCGGATACCAGCATGGCACGTCGTGGCCTGTGGTGTTGAAATCGAAACCGATGGACTGTGTGAAATCTGACGGGCTGATTGATTTGGCTGCGGAGGACACGCCAAGGAGGACAAGCAGTGGGAAGATCCAAAGTCGACGACATGAGACTAGGGTCATTCTGGGGTCTATGTCCTCATGCTGACTGCAAGCTCTTGGGTTCGGGGGTGGGACCTGCGCCATCTTTGTACTTGCAGTCATCCTTCAGGCCGCCGCGGAGCCATCGATCGCTCTAGAGTGATTGCGAAGCCCATCTGAAGCTCCGTGGCGATGACTTTGACCAAAAAGTTTCAAGTCTCTAATCAATGCGATAGTAGACCGATGAAACAAAGACCTGAATGGCCTGTTTGCTGAAGGATTCGGCATTCGAACTCGAGTTGGGTGGCGCAGCTGCAATAAAGGTCGATATTCGGGCTAGCGTAGGATTCAGGCCTATGTGCTGCGACCACTCGGACCACATCGCTGAGCTGGTTCGGCATATTGCTAAAGCACGTGTACAGGCGGAGTTGCGGTGATCGGCACCATAGCCGTCATTCTTCAGCCATGTCGTCGTCCACGACTGGGAAATTCCGTTCTTTTTGGTGTTCGCGACGGCAATCTATCGCACCTTGCAAGTGCTATGTGAATTAAGTGATGTTGAGGCGGTGCGCTGGGTCTGACAAGTATTGCTATGAAGTGGAGCTAGTTGGACTGTGAAGTAACAGCAGCCAGGTCATTGTTGTACTTTGCTTCGATGGTCATTGCGAGACCACCAAAAGTGTCACGGACTTTTGAGCAGGTTGGCTGCCTTGATGAATTTTACACGGCGGTTCCCTGTCTACGTATGAGTATGAGACAGCCTGTTGTGATTGAGGCATTGGGCAGATCATTTCAATGCTTACCATAGGTTCGTTGCGTACGGTTTGGAGCGCCACGGAAGGTGATCTCGGGCTAGCAAGCGACACGTAGGGTTTTTGTTTGAAGTGCATTCCTTCGATCGTTCTAGATCTACCAACACGCTGGGAAGGCATTCTTTTAAAGATGGCTGTGCCTGAATTTCGCCTGCACTGAATGCAAGGACTTTTTGTGTCGGCTGGACGATAGAGGCTGATAATGTTTTCCACACTGAGCCCCCTTCCCGATTCAAATTTTGGCCGTCCATTCAGCTGGCGAAGTTCATTTTGTAAAGTATGAAATGCTTCTTCTGACACGCTCATCATGGTAATATATGCATTGTTTAATCTAGGACTCCATTCAGAAAAGGCAGAGCCTTTGTCCCTTCGACTTCTGCTCGATAAAAAATCATCGAACTATTAGAATTGTATCCCAGTCATTGCTGTCCATACTCGCTACCACTTATTCGACCTTGTCTAATATATATCAGAGATTACTGACAGGCAGAGTCGCCGGCCCCTTCGCAGAAAATACCAAATTCAGAAACGGATGTTTCTGCTGAACGCCATCAATCGATAAGTAAGCACTGATAAAAAAACTCTCCTTCGTAGCCCCAATAGCAAGCGGCCAGATCGACTGCGACAGAGCCTCCTCAATCATAAACCATTGGATATAAACGCCGTCTACGCCCCATTTGAAAGTCACTAAGAGGTTCTCGCCCGTGGGAGCAACGATGGAGAATGCATGTCCCAACATAGGGGAAGGCCGACCGAACGGGGGCGAGTCCTGTACTCGGCTGTACGGATCATGCGCCCAGACTTGAGTCCGGAAGGCTTCGTTGACGAGCCAGAAAACTGGATTGATGCTCATGGGCTGGCCGGTGCCCTTGGCTGTGCAGACGACGATGATCTGGGCGTTGGGGTTCGAGGAACTTTCGTTCGCGTTGGTATCTCTATTCTGAAATTGAGACAAGGGACGCCTTTTTGTCAAGGAATCTGCTGCGATGTCTCTTGCCGTACTGGATTCGCCACTTTCGACGGGGGTATCCGTTGTGATCATTGGAATAGCTCCATCTATCGGACTTGCGACGGTTGAGATGTTGTCAGCCGCTAATCTGCTGGTGGTTGCTGTCCCCAGCCGGCGTTGAAGGAACAAAAAGTCATATGCTGTCACGTGCCACCGGGGATCTTGATCGGAAGTCCCGGAGTCAATCTGCTGTTGAATCATCTCCTGTACCCCCCAACCGACCCATTGCAACTCTATGGATGGAATGTTCGTATTATCAACGTCAAACGTAAATTGCAGTGGGAACAATGAATCTCTGTGGACCTTATGCAAAATTTGTCCGGGTGGAGCGATCCATATCTCGCGCATAGTCTCGAACCAGAGATGCAAGACCTGGGCCGCAAAATCAGTGTACATATGTGCTTGATCGCTCCGGACAGAGAGGTTCGGGCGGCGCGCAGGGTCAAAGCTGTTTCCGAGTGTTGTATTTTGGGGGATGCTGGTTGTGAGATTCATGTCGCCCGTATCGGTGGATAGAGGCATTGCGTCAATACAGGTCGTGCTCAACAGAGCTGTGAAGAGGATTGTGAGCATCGTGTCAAATATGTAGAAATGGTTAGTCGTGAATGTAGCCGTTGCGAGCGCGGCTGTCGATCAAGGCAAGGCAGGGAGAAGGTATCTGGCACGGAAATTGATGCAGAAGCAATGACTATGAGAAAGCTGTGCCTTCAGACTTGACCTTATTGATGTCATGAAGTTTGCGTCTATACTGTCACAATATATTGGTGCCGTCGCTTAGCTTTCCGACAAAGCGTACTCATTGCCTGAAACAGACCCTCGTTGGCACGGCCTAGCCAACATCTCACATGTTTTTCCTATTTATATCAAAAACCTTAACCAGTCTCATGACATGCTGGTGTTCCGCTGTTCGAAATCTTCTGCACCGTAGTCTGTGTTCACATTTGTTGCAGAAGCGATTCTTCGCGCAGGCCAAATGCCAAGTCGAACTCCACCATCAAATGCGCTCTGATTGTGGGCAGACGCAGTCCATCGCTGCCTCATATATGGAATTTCGGTGAAGGCACCAGATGTCGCAATGAAAACGAGGTTGGTGCCGTCCAACGAGGGTTGTTCAGCTTGATATGCGACCATGGTGGCTTCGCAGCTAATGCCACAGATACGAGTACGTGGATCGACTCATAGTAGGACGAAAAGCTGTATATTTATCATCGACCCTTTCAAAAAGCTCAAGAGACCGTCTTTGATGTGTCGGTCGCTCTCCTAAACCAATGAGGAAAGATCGAGAACAGTAAGAATAATACCGTTCATCCTTCCTATGCCTTTTCCTTCAAAGGAAGGACATAGCAGTCCTGTATCTCTGATAGATAGCCAGTGAGTGCGCCATCGATTCTCGGTGAATTGCTCATTGGGTTCCTGACATCGACAGCAGAAGTGATACTCCAAGTACGCCAAACGTTTCCATACGCATGCGGGCGGATCATAACTTCGATGATGAGCTTCGTGTGATGTTGGTGCTCTGGTGAAGGCAAGAAGTTTGGAATGCAGCCGTCATAGGTCCTGTATGGACATAAGTCAACATCACGTCCTCAAAGCAGATCGAGTTGAAAATCAGTGAAAAGAAAATGATGGAGAAACATTGCCAAGACTCGCGCGGATCAGGGATCGGCAAATCTTTGTTCCGTTTCGGAGATGTCCAACTCCCGAGAGGCACCAGTTCAGCTCTTCAACCACCATCAATCTTTCCGAAGAGCAGAGTAATCAGTGAAAGTCTATCGACGAGTCCTAGGTTCACCTCGAGCTTTGACGAGCCTGCTAATTTTGGTCTCCTCTTGACATAATATTGCTGGACGATTAGTCGCTTCCCTCTGAGATCTTCAGCCTTGTCGGCATTTGGTCTACTTTCATACAAGAAGGAAGGAGATGCGCCTCATTAATACCTCCACAATTCAGCTTGAGGAATTTGCTGTCGACAAGATCCCAGCTTACGCAATACTCTCTCACACCTGGGGCGATGACGAAGTGCTGTTTGCTGATATGCAGGCTGCGAAAGCCACGGAGAAAGTAGGGTTTCGCAAGCTTCGAGGCGCATGCGACCTTGCTTCTAGCCAGGCGCTCGAATATATTTGGATTGATACGTGTTGTATCGACAAAAGTAGTAGTGCTGAGTTGTCCGAAGCGATAAACTCTATGTTCTCTTGGTATGCAAATGCTAAGACATGCTATGCCTTTCTCGCGGACGTCGATCATGATAGGTCTCGGAAAGGTCAAGTTGGTCTTGATGAATTTGGTTCAGCTAGATGGTTCCAAAGAGGCTGGACTCTGCAAGAGCTGATTGCTCCCCAAGATATTTCATTCTATGATCGCAATTGGCAGGAAATCGGCGATAAGACCAGCTTGCGCGGAAGGATCTCAAGAATCACGGGTATTGATGAGAGTGTCCTGAAAAAAGACGTAAGCCACCAAATTATCAGCGTAGCCAAAAGAATGTCTTGGGCATCTAGGAGAGTCACGACGAGACCCGAAGACATTGCATACTGTTTAATGGGACTTTTCAACGTCAATATGCCCTTGATCTACGGAGAGGGTTCAAAAGCATTCACAAGACTACAAGAAGAGATCATTAAATACTCGACTGATCAGTCTCTGTTCGCTTGGACGCACCAACAGGATGACTCCAAGCGCCAATGCGGACTGCTTGCCCCATCTCCATCTGAATTTGTCCACTCGAGCCAGGTCATTTCGCACAATGATCCTGGGTTCACAGAGCCTTATTCGGTCAGTAATATGGGCTTACATATTCGACTCCTACTTCTCAAGGACGGCGATCTCTTCAAGGCCGGTCTTGATTGCTTGTCGCCACGCTATGTCGGTGGATCAGGGTTCCATGAAATCGTAGGTGTCTATCTGAAGTTGTTCAAGGGCGAACAGTACGTCAGAGTCATGTCAGATGTACTTTGCACCATCGATTCTCACGAAAGGGAAAATTCGTTCAAAACAATTTACGTCTGCAACGAAATGCCCGACCGAGAAAGACATGATATATACCTCGAGCGGGTCATCGAATTCCGAGGCATTGCTCGGAACGAGACAAGTTGTAAAGTCTATGCGGTTCTCGCATGCGCCCCCGATAAATCAATGCAATTTGAACAGGTACGATATCACACAACATCGCAGCAGCTTTGGAGTAATTATCAGGAGCAACTTGTTTATTTGCGATTGAACACCTCTCACCGCTATGCTGGCGGCGCTATTGTCCTTCCTATGAGTGGCCGCGCTATAGCTGTCTTATTAGGCATGACGGAGAAGGGTGAATTAGGCTTTCAATCGGTTTCTTTGTCCCAACACATGACATTGGAGCAAGCAAGAATTGCCTTTAACCCAGTACCTGTGGGACAGAGTGTGAGTCTCAAGCCAGACTACCCTATCCTTGTAGAGGTCAACGCACATGAGAGGATACATCAGATGACCATGATCTACAATGTACGAATTTCTTTTACAAAAATCGAGACGATGTCAGGAGATAATGTGCGGAACACGAAAATTTACCATGACTCTTCATCCGGGCACGCTACATCCCAACAAAACTCTGGAAGAAGTATTTTCAAGCTGTTCAGAAGGTCCAAACCGAAAGAATGGGCCAATGAAACGGCAAACTGAATCGCGAAAAGGGGTTGAACATTGCTCGTGACGATAGAAAGGAAATGGGTAAGATCGTATCCTTTTCGGACGACGTAACATAACATATACGACCCTATCCTGAATGAGGAGATCTTATCACACCTTTAGCGATATTGAATGATCAGTGGGGCGATCAAAGTAAAGGAATTTCGATCAGTTCATGAAACTTTCCTCGGAAAGGCAGAACACAGGCATGAAATTTGGTTTACCTTACAAAAATGGTGATCAAAGACAGCCAGCTTCTTGCAGAAAGCGCAGAAACGGTCCGCTAGTACCAGATTATCTGATCCGATGATGAACCGTTGAGCCGATGACTGAAGAGATATGCATGAATGAAGAAGAAGCCCAAATACATGACGATAATAGTACATAGTAGCATTGATGACCTGATCAAGCGTCATCAGCAGGCGTTCAACGAGTGACGTATCCCAATATCAGAGCCAATTGTGTACAATCCCTCCCTAGTCAATGCCACCCCGAAGACTCATCGTGGAGCAGTAACATTCCGTCGAACCTCCACCCTTGTCGTATTCTGTCCCATCGGGCGTTCGAAACCAGCGCATTCATCTCGCCATAATACACCAAAGCCCAAACCGTCCTTCCAGACTACTTCACAGCAGGCGCATAAACAGGCCCAAGCACCTGATCCAACACCTCGACATAATCCTTCGCCGTCGCCATCCGCTGCACGGTCCCCTTCCCACTCCGATTCATCGGCTTGTCAAGACTCGTAAACAACACCCCTTCCTCCCCCACCTCCACCCCCACCCCACCATCCAACCCGCTCACAACATCCCTTACCCTCCTTCTCAACCCCTCCAGATCCCCCCTCCCCTCCTCCGTCGGCTCAACCAACAGAACACACTTCTCACGGCCATGCCCCAGCACCAGCGCCGCCCTCACCCCCTTCACCTTACAAACCGCCGCCTCCATCCCCATCGGCAGGATCTTCTCCCCGCCCGCCAACTCCACCACGTCATCAATGCGGCAGCGATACCGCCACAGCCCCTCCCTCGTCGCGTGCGGGGAGTACAGGTCTTTCATCGAGTACTCGCGCAGATGTGGGAACGTGTGGAACACAGCTTGGTAGGGTTCACAGCGTTTTGAGCGCACGAATACGAGTTCGTGCAGATCGGCGTGGTAGTGCCGGAACTGCACGCCCATGTGCGGGTGGATGGCGCTGTATTGCCAGTCCCCCCCTCCTCCCCTCCCCCATCCCCTCCATCCCTTCGGCCGTCGTAGGGTGCGGGTGCGGGCACCTCGAGCGACACAAGCAGCGTCTCCGTCGAGCCGAGATACGTGCCCACGCTTGTCACACGCGCGATCCTATCGCCCAGCTCCCTCGGCAGCGCGTACCCTGCCGCGAGGACGAACTGCATATCGGCCAAGCGGGCGAACTGCGCAGGGACCTCCGCCAGCGCGGCCAGGTAGTCTGGGCGCAGAATCGTGATGTCCGGCTTGCCGTAGCGGTGCACGGCGTCGACGATGGCGGGCGTGGGCAGCGTCGCTGGCCCGATTATCGCGACGCTGTTGTAGAAGGCCGGCATCGTCAGCATTTGGAACATGCCGGCGGCGCGGATGGGCGGGATGCCTGCGAAGACGCGGCGGCCTTTGTAGATGTCCGCGATGGAGGGCGTGCTGGTGGGGGAGGTGGGGGCGAGTTGGAAGGCGTCGCAGGCGGCCATGCTGCCGTGCGTGCTGTCGACTAGTTTTGGGAAGCCGGTTGAGCCCGAGGTGTGGAATGTGGCGAAGGGGTCGTTGCGGGCTTGGGAGAAGGTTTTGGTGTACGGGTATTGATGGGCTACGAGGCTGGAGTTTAGGAGAGAGGGCAGGGTGGGGATGATTAGGTGTTTCATTTGCCGCTTTGCTGCGATGTCGTTGATGAAGTCGTCGTGCGCGGCGGGTGTCATCATGAATTTGCAGTTCGACTTTTCGAGCAGGTGCAGATGTGTTTCGATGTCATTCAATATCCATGAAAAGAGGGCCTAGAGACAAACTCAGACGGGAGCTATGCTCGCTTCATACATGATACTGACCTTGTGCCCGGTCTTTTGGGCTGCTACTGCAACAATGGCATATCTGATATCGGGAGGGCCGAAGTACGCTATCGACTCGAAGCTGTCACTTCGCCCCAGATTCTCTTCAATCAGCCACGCAACGCGATTGATTGCGTTGGCCAGTTGGCCCCAGCTGATGTCATCAAACCCATCTTTCAGATCGTCGGTGCGCGGCATGCAACAGAAGGTACCTTGAGGGTTGTTGCGAGCATGGTCGTCGATTATGCGGACAATGAGGCGCCGGCCGCAGTCTTGTGGTAAGTCTGTGATATCATTCTTCGACTTCGAATGAAGTGAGATGGACTTGAGCTCGTGTAGGACTGACTTCAGCTTTGAAAGCGGCCAGAAGTGTACGAGAGCCTTCAGCCAGGAGAGTATCGAGACCAACATCTTGACAGTTCCTTGCTCGAGGGAGAGGTTAACTTGGAGAGCTTGCGTGGTAAGAGAGTGTCCCCCTCGAGAAGTTCATAAACGATCATGTCAGTCGGGAAGGTGGGGTTGTCGAAGTACCTCGCAATCTGATGGTCGCCGCTCCATGGGAACGGCATGATGATTCGGGATATGTCACTCTTCAGGAGCATCATGAGTGCATCGAGGCTCGTACGGCACAGTCAAGGTAGCGTAGGCCCACGTGTGTGGGCTCTAACCATTACGCAACGACAGCTGATCGTATGGTATGGTAGCTTGAGAGCAACGTCTGGCGAGCGAGGAAGGGAGGATCGCAGTTCTTGGTGCATTCCTTGACATTTAGCTCCGCATCGCTCGCCCACAAAAAGTACTCGATCAAGCCATCCTTGCTCTTCACAATCTCCAAAGTCAAAATCGGGCCTGACCTTATGCACGTGAGCCTTAGCCTCTTCTTAAGTATACCTTAGCTTCAAATGACCATGTGGCGGGCCTTAGCGGGCCGCTATATAGCAGTTTCCTCGGAGACACCCAAGCGAGGGGTCCTTATCCTGTACTCTGAATGGCTCGCCTGTAGCTTGCAATACACTACTGCAGGGACGGCTCGGCGAAACATCAATTGCCCTGTTTCGGATTCCCCTAAGATTAGGTCCTTCGTGCGCTCGGACGATCTCGTGGTTTCGATACCAAATTATGACTCGATAATAGGCCAAAATATGACTAGTCGGACTGCTCGAGCTGGTTGGGATTCAATACCACTCCGATCGTAGGCCTCGGGAAATTGAAGAAGGCAAGACTTCTGCCTATCATGTCTCAGTCGTAGGAGAATTAGTTTGTCACTGCAGGAATCTCTTGACTTGATCAGCTGTATAGCTTCAACTAGTCCTTCATGTGGGTCACAATGAGAGGCCGGTCCGCACCATCGAACTTACCTGAATCTTTGGGTCCGTGTTCAGACTGCCATGCTTGCAATAATGTCAGGTTAGCAGGATCTTTGTGACCCAGTCGAACTGGTTCCTTGCCCTCACTATCGCCACTGCTACTCTTCCTCCCGCTGTGCCAACCTTTGTACCCTCGAACGGACTTCCTTCAGGGCCTTGCTGTGGTCAAGTCCGAGCCGTCTCTACCATTAGCGTTGATGGTTTGTATATCGCACACGAAGAATAGACTTTGTCACGAGGTTGGATATTGATGAAGTCTGGAATGTAGCTTGATGAGACAGCGCCGTAACGAACCCTTCTTTAGCTCCTTGTATCGTTTCTTCCACAAGCCACGTCTAATCCATGTTGAGGTGCGCCATCATGGCACCAAATGACCCATGCATGTTAGTGGACTCAGTGCCGGCCAACGCTGCAAGTTGTAATTCATCAATGTTCATGTTCTCCCATCTGTCACATCAACGTAAAGATTGTATACCTTTGGAGTCCTTGTACCTGAGGTTGATATGTCTCGCACCATCGAAAGTCTCACTTCAACGTCATTGAAAGAATGGGATGCATTACTAGAGATCATCGATAAACCATCTAGGCCTATTGAGGTCAATGGCACAAAGCTCAATCTAGCTGAGATTGTAGCTGTAGCGAGGTAGCTCTAATACTCAGCCAATTCCGTCTGGGGTTTGCTGATGTTGTTCGCTTTCAGACACGGGATAAATGTTAAGACAGATCGAAATGCTTCGAATCGCTTGGCCGCAGGAGCCCAATGCCTCGCCGATGATCTCCAGGAGGGCAAGGTGATTTATGGTATGTATGGCGCTTGATGATTCGATTGTATACTCAGCTCAAAGAAGAATCCTAGGGGTCAACACAGGATTCGGGGGTAGCGCCAACACGAGGACGGAACATGTCAAAGACCTCCAGATTTCTTTGGTCTCGATGTTGCAATGTGGCATAACGTACCCCTCGCGACAGGACTTTAAACACCCCGTTGTCAATGATGTTGCGCCACTCAAGTCCAAGGCAGTAGATCTTCTGAGGAAAGGGTTGCCATTGGAAGACTCCGTGTCAACGAATTGTATGCCAGAGCCTTGGGTCCGAGCAGCTATCCTCGTCCGCATCAATTCGTTAATGCACGGTGCGTCGAGTGCCCGTCCTGTGATTGTGGCTCGTATGATAGACCTGCTCCGACATGATATCATTCCTCGCGTGCCAATGCACGGTAGTATATCCGCCTCAGGAGACTTGAGCCCTCTTTCCTACATTGCAGGATGTATCCAAGGAAGTCCAAATATTTCGGTTCTTGCTGGCGAGGAACGTCGTATTACCACTGCAGATGTAGCGATGGCAGAAGCGAACATTGCTCCAGTATCTCTAGCGGCAAAGGAGGGTCTCGCTATCGTGAATGGTACAGCTTTCTCGAGTGGAGTGGCTGCATTACTCATGCATGACGTCTGCAACCTCGGTGGGCTATGTCAGGTCCTGGCTGCGATGAGCGTCGAGGCACTGGGTGGGACATCAGAGTCATTCCATCCATTCTTCGCGGAAGTGCGACCTCATCCAGGACAGGTGAGGGACAATTGCTTCCACACGGACTTCTAAGCTGATGAGAGGCGTTAGGTGGAATCTTCCCAAAACATCTATGACTTCCTTCAAAGCTCTAAGCTTAGCAGCAGTAACGATGGCTCGGAGAAAGGCTCCCTTCGGCAGGACCGATACTCTATTCGCACTGCTTCACAATGGATTGGCCCTGCTCTGGAAGACTGCGCCTTGGCCTATCATCAGGTTGTGACTGAGAGTAATTCCGTAACAGATAATCCCTTGACAGACCCTTCTGATCCTTCAGGCGACATCCTTCATGGTGGTAACTTTCAAGCTAAGGTCGTTACTTCCGCCATGGAAAAGGCACGCCAAAGTCTCCAGTCTCTTGGTCGAATGCTCTTCACGCAATGCACCGAGGTTACAAACCCGGCAACCAATAACGGTCTTCCACCCAATCTCACCGTGGACCCACCTTCGGAGTCTTTTCTCATGAAAGCAGCTGATATAATGTCGGCAGCTCTCCTTTCGGAATTGGGCTTTTTGGCAAACCCGGTAGGCTCCCATGTGCAGACCGCGGAGATGGGAAACCAGGCGCTCAATTCCATCGCACTCATCTCAGCGCGCTATACACACATAGCAGCTGATATTCTTTCGAAACTGTGCGCAGTGCATCTCTTGCTGACGTGTCAAGCACTCGACCTTCGGGCTATGAATCAGCAGTTTCTCTGCAGTCTCGAGGGTCCGTTCCGTTCCTTGACCTTTGAGACATTCGAGGGAGTCTTCAGTGTTGCGAAAAGCCTCGAGAGTATTTGGTCCGCTCTAATCCAGGCTCTAGTAAATTCCATCGCGGAGGACGCACCCGGCCGTTTTCAGTCCGTAGCATCCACTCTGCAATCCACTGTACTAGATCAAGTAGACCCTACGAGCAGCGTGCCGATATTACCACTGCTGAAGAGCTGGACCGACAGTCTTACAGCATTGCTTACAGAAACCCACAAGGCCACCCTCAAAAGCTATCTGAAGCGAGGAAGTGCAGCTCCTCTGCTAGGTCATGCCGCATGCCGCATTTACAGCTTCGTGCGACAAGAGCTCAAGGTACCCTTCTTGCACGAAGGCATTCTACACGTCAACGGTCCAGGATCGGCGGACAATTTGCTTCCTACCGATTACAAGTCGGGTGTCACGACCATTGGTGCCCAAATAACAGTGCTGCATGAAGCGATCCGCCAAGGCGTGCTCTACTTGCCGGTCGCAGAGGCAATGAGGGAGGCTCGGGAGAATGTAGCTGCGAGGAAGTCGATCAAACCTACTCCGGCTAAGCCAACCAAGCGTTCTCGGAGCGTCGGCTGTGATGTGGAATCAGAGGAAAATGCCGGCAAGCGGATGCGACCAGTTGGACTAAGCGAATTGAATCATGTGACCATCGCGGCTTGAACAAAGTATCCGTGGCAGACTCGCTGTCTGATGTATGACTAACAATAATGTGGCAGATGAGATGAGGTGCGTATCTCGATGATATTACCAGCGGTCAGTACGGCATCCGATTAAAGCAGATAGCCAAAACCCAGATTTGCGCCAAGACCCGAATATAGCTAGTCAATCTAAGAAATACGCCTATGTGATCAATGTTTCCCGGAGCTCTATCCGCTTACCAGATCATACAAACGTATAACATTCATCTTCCGACATGTTATGTGGTATTCCTCGTATGCGCTGTGGACCGTATGTCAAGCTGGACTATTGGAGATGGATCAGCCGCTGATTTAATCTTATCTCCAGAATTTGACATGCGTCCCATGTCTTAGGAACCTTTCATTGGAGCTGCTTTATTCCGCGGGTCACATCTAGACCGCAACTAGCCCCCAAAACAACCCTATACGTCGATCAGTCGCGTGGAGATAGCCTTAGTGACGAGTATCCTTGCTCATCATCCCGAATTCTCTACCACTCTGGACTTCATTCACCAAAAGGGGCGTCCAAAAGGCCCACTCCACCATCGAGCTACTGCTATCACATCATTATCCTTCTTCCGCCCGCTCTTCCTCACCTTGCGCTTTCCAACAGCTAGTCTCGTCAGGCGCTTAGACGACGCCTGTTGTCTTTCCGTATACGCGCATGATGATATAAGTATGGAAGACTCGGATGAATTCGACCTCAGTGTTCTCGCCTTCTCCGGAATATACCTTCTGAAGCAGGATCAAGACATCCTGAGCAGCGACAAAACGACAGTTCCACGAGATTCTTGACAAAATGTTGAACGCTTCCTTGTTGATTGCCGCGGGTCTGTTTGGTCTTTCTTCTAGCTCCCCAGTAGCAGCCGGGGAGCTGCAGGCTACCAACCAAACAACGAACGATTTGCAGAGCTCAGATCAACAAGCAAACAACCTGCCGACCGTCAACCTTGGGTACTCGACGTACCGCGCGACCGCCCTGAATGTAAGTTCGCTTTTGTGCGTTGACCCGAGACATGGCCATGCTTATTGATATAAAAGGCGACGGGAGCATATTACAACTTCTCCAACATACGATACGCTGCACCTCCACTTGGCGATCTTCGATGGGCAGCTCCCAAGCCTCCAGTCGATGCTGCTGGCGTCCAGGATGGGTCGGTCGGCTACATTTGTTCACAATCCATTCCTACCTGGTTTGGTGCAGCCATCGGTGGTCTTGGACCATTGTTGCAATCTTTCCCCGCCGACTCTTCAAGCCAGCAGCAAAGCGAGGATTGTCTCTTTCTAGATGTTATGGCCCCAACTCAAGTTTTCAAGAGCGCTGGATCCAAGACTCCGAAGCTGGTGCCAGTCATGTTCAATATCCATGGAGGAGGCTACTTTCTGGGCGACAAAAGAACCAATTACGATCCTCAGGGTCTACTGCGACAAGCGCAGGGCGGAATGATCTACGTCTCTCCAAACTATCGCGTAAGTCTTTGCCCAATCCTTTCATGTACAATAATATCTAATACAAATTGTAGCTTGGTGCTTTTGGCTTCTTGAGTGGTTTGCAGCCTTCGGCCGCAAACACTACCACACCGAATGCAGGCCTTCTGGATCAGCGCATGGCCCTGAAGTGGGTCAAAAAGTACATCCATCTATTCGGTGGAGACCCATCAAAGGTGACAGTCATCGGCCAGTCCGCAGGGGGCGGGTCAGTAGAGTATCACACGACTGCCTATGGTGGATCGAGGCCGGACGAGAATAGTCTCATAGCTGGCGCAATCTCTCAAAGTCCCGCGCCATTAATCACTGATCAGCAATGGCGAGTGTTGGGGGCAAATTCGTTTTTACAAGCTGCTGGAGCTACTTCGGTCGACCAATTGAGGAAATTGCCCAGTGCCACATTACAGCAGGCGAACCAGAAATCGCAGGCTCTCACGCCACAATCAGTCGCGTTCTTTGGTAGCTACCAACCACCTTCCGTATGAATGTAATACTAATGACCACTAGTGCCTGTCATAGACAAAGACTTTATTCCAGACCATCCCAGTAATTTGTATCGACAAGGCAAATTCAACAAAAACATAAAGGTCATGGCATCACATCAAGCGGACGAGGTGAGCTAGAAGCATGTACGAATGTTGACGTTTGACGCCTGCTGACCTTCTTCCCCAGGGACGTCTATTCTCAAATTCAAGCGTACAGACTGACGCCGAATACGATGACTGGGTCCGAACCAACTACCCATCGTCCGGTCAGGCCACATGGTCCTACATCTCGCAGAAGCTATACCCACCGACATATGATGGCTCGCAAGGCTATCGTACGCCCCAGGAACGGTTGCAGGTCACAACACAAGACCTCATCATCGCCTGCAACACCGTCGCAATCAACCAGGCGTACGGCAACAAGGCGAACAGCTACAATTTCGCCATTCCGCCAGCCATCCACTCACAGGATCTCCTGTACACATACAATCGTTTCGCGAATGTTCCTGCTGCGGGCGATCCTGCTCAGAACCTGCAAACATCCATTACGATGCAGAAGGCCTTTACACGATTCACCATCACAGGCAGCCCGAATGTCCCTGGCAGTCCCCAATTCCCCCCATACGGCGCCAACAGTCAAATCCTGAACTTGGCCCCTACAGGTCCAGTGGTGATCAAAGAGCCTTCGGACAATGCCCGCTGCCAATGGGTGAACAGGAATCTCTACTCGGCGTCAGCAACCACAGGCCCGAGATCAGTAGAAGCTGTTGCAGTGTCCTGACGCTTTGTCACGACCCATTGACAAATCTCCAAGCGAGAAAGACTACATCATATCATTTCACGGCCGGTAAGAATCTCCTGCGCACATAGATAGAATTTTGAAGTATAGAATCTCCGGCATAGATAGCCTCCCCTAGTACCGATCATATAAAACGAACTAGTCAAAAAAACCACTTGGAAGAACGGCCCCACATTTGGCAACTCCCGTTGGGATGTGGCTTGGGGACGGGATATTCGGTTGATAGCCGCACAAATAGAAAGCCAGCGATTAACCAGCAAAATCCGCCAGTCTTCCCGAACACGCCAATAACGTGGATCGAGGCTCTGAAGCAGCCTAGCGTGGTAGGATGTCATTAATAATATTCATCCCGCCCACAAGAATCGACGCGGAGTAATTCGACCAGTTGATTACAGCTCCGCATTAAGCTCATGCATATACGTGCTACCCGAACGTTGGACAGTCGCTCCAAAGACATTTCGACCCGGACCGCCACAGGCGTTACTTCTGTCCCTAGTCTTGTGGGGATTTGGAACGAATGCGGGGATGCTACCCTCATTTTGGTCCATAATTTCCCGTCCCCTCGTGCTCCGTTCCTGCATGTAACTCGCCGTGCGGCTGCGAGCGCGCTCGAACCTTTCGCATGTATGCAGGCAGTACAACACGAGCTGCTGAAATAGGCGTAGCTCTTGGTAGTTCATAACGTATGGTACCAAAGCTGACAATCTTGACGGGGGTGGGTCTACGGGCACGCCGATTCACGCGTCGATGATCAACAAGGACCCTAGCCTTAGTACGAATTCCTAGTGAAACTGCCGATGATGCAACACGGCTTCCTGCTCTAGCGCCATCCATCGTGGTTCGCATGAAGTATGACTGGTGTGGGTCGTCATGCGGAAGGCCTAAGACAATAATAATACTAATGATAATAAGAATAATAGCACCGTGACCGGCCTCGAACGACCACACTCTCCCAAACCACGGTCGAAGTCCTTTCGCCACGCAATACTGCTTTTCAGTGATCTATGAAGCATAACACAAACCTTCCAGACATTTGAACACACTGCCCTCGTCGTCATGGCGGAGATACCTCCCGAAGTGATTGCCGACCAAATGGCCCATAAGAATCAGTTCAGCGGCGACGGCCTCAACGGCTTCGTCATATTCGGCAATTGCATGATCACGGTATTCCTCATTCTCAGACTCGCGTCGAGGAAATACGTCCAGAAGATCGGCTGGTTCACCGATGATTATGTTCTCATTGCGGCTTGGGTGAGTGATGGAACGCCCTGCGAAGCCAACATGGGGCAGGCTGACGTTGAGTGCATTTTAGCTGCTTACCATTTGCTCAACGATGATATTCGCCATCTTAGGTAGGAGAGACCTCCTAACGTTGGTGACTTGCAGCTTATTGACGTCGTTTTCTGGCAGTGGAGAAGAATGCACTGGGAAGGCATTTCCTCCCCCAGACTCCTGCAACCCAAACGTCTTTTGGGAAAGTGCGTAAACACCTACGGCCTCACTGTGGTGATCAGAACGCTTATCATATCCTCCTCGTTAACGCCTGTCTTTTCTTTAGTGGGAATATGCGTACAACATATTGTACATCGGTTATCCACTTAGCAAGATCTCCCTCACAATCTTGTACCAACGAATATTCTCCCTCACGATGCGATGGTTCGATTTGTGCTGCAAGTCTCTCATCGCGGCGTTTGCCGCTTACGCGATATCAACCACTATAATCAACATCTGGCTCACTGTCCCCATCAATGCCTACTGGGATCATAGCGTAAAGCCTCGTCGCGCAGTAAACGAGACTACGTTGTACAAGGCCAATGCCTATTTCAATATCATCACCGACTGTATTCTGTTCGTCCTCCCGTTGACCGTCATCTGGCGCCTCAAGATGAATACGGCGCGAAAAGTCGGCTTAACATTCATTTTCGCAATCGGTTGCCTGTAAGCCATGTCCCCTTCTCCAGCTCTTGTGCAGACCCTTCTTTGCCTAATTATCCACAATGTCTGCACCTTCCTATCTACCTCCCCGTCAAGCACCGCACTCCCGCAATAGGGAGCCAAAACTAAGTGTGCACCTCAAAAACAGCACCATTGTCGCCTCAATCATGCGCCTCGTCTACTTCTTCCAAGTCTCAAACCTCGACCCCACCTACACACTCACCCCCATCGCCTTCACAACAGCCGCCGAACAGTTCCTCGGCATCATCTGCCCGAGCCTCCCGACCCTGGCCCCCATCATCCGCGTCACGTGGGAGATAACCAGCAGCCTAGGCAGCGCCCGAAGCAAACCAACCTCGAACTACTCGGACTCGAAAATGGCCCCGCCGGACAAATGGGCCCAGAGCAACAATGGCGGCCGCTCCCGGAAAGGCAGCAGTGCCAGTTGGTGGAGAAGAGGCAGTGCGAAAAGGGCGCCCGATGAGAGCGATGAGACGCTCGCGAAGAAGGCGAGCGGTGAGGCGCTGTTTTTTAATGGGCAGCCATTTACCAATGAGCATCAGACTATCACGAGTAAGAGGCTCGATCCGAGGTTTGCGGATCTGGAAATGGGTACTACGACGGATGCGGTCAGGAGTATTAGTGGGGATGAGACGCTGGATGATGGGGAGAGTGGGAAGCATGGGTTTGAGGGCTTGCCGAGTGGGGCGATCGGCGTGAAGCAGGGGTTTAAGGTCGAGGATAAGTAGTAAATATTGCTGTCCTACGCATCGAGTAGAGTGAGAAGCAATGCTTATGGAAACGGGCTTATCGGCTTTCACTCATTGTCACCACGAGTATTCTATGGGCTTACAAATTACGAGGCTCATGGCCAGTGCGATGTTGAAATCAGCCGCTGACTTACTGACCTCAATACCCGAAATCGGAAGCCCTACTCATGTTGCAAATTGTATAGTATTTGCAGACTTGTCATATATGCTACAAATGAGTTTAATGGATCAACGACAGCTGGAAGGCTTCCGTAAGACGGAGTCTACGGCAGAGTCAAGATAATGTTCCAAGTACAGATCTACAAAGGCCTTTTGATCTTCCCCATGAGTCATGATTCTAGACTGTTCTAAAAAAAAGAGAATAGACTGAGCGCCATCCTTGACCGAGCTTAGACGCAGCCACGGTAAGGCTACGTTGGGCAGCGTCCGAGCCTAGTGCTATCGCGCACGGACATACAAAGCGCAGGCAACTGCCTCTCAGATCTTCATGACCTGTCTTCTACGAGCAATTTGTCGGGCGCAGGCCTCTTCTCATAAACTTCAGTATGCCTGCCGAAGAATATACCCACGGGCAGGCTACGAATGCTTCTACCGAGAGCTTGACACCAGGAAGCACCGATGCGCATTCAGATAGTATCTCCCCAACAACCACTGCTCAATCCTCGCCTGCATCCAATTATACGCATCCAGTGACATTGAACAATAGCCATGTTGACTCCTTGCAAGTCTTCATCGACGATGTCAACTGTGCCCTAACAGGAGCTCTTGCTCGGGGCGGCAGTGCATACAGCAAAGTCACAGTCCTGTTCCTAAGATGGGCCGATGACGTCTTCGTCGATCCTGGTGTCAACAATGGGGTGCAGGGAGAGATTGACAGTCTGGAAAAGGTTTTGGTTGACGAATACGGCTTTGAATCGGAGATTTGCCTTATTCCAAGTCACAAACCGCAGCTCAGTTTGATGCGAAGGATTATGGACTTTCAGGAGGCACATGATTCCGTAGAAGAGCTTCTTTTAGTTTACTATGGAGGTCATGGCGTATTGAACGACCTCAATCAGAGCATCTGGAGTCAAGGAAATGGACCGATCATCGAATGGTTCTCTATCCAGCCTATACTGGAGCATGCAGCCTCTGACATCCTTATTCTACTCGATTGCTGCTTTGCAGCCTCTGCTGGGCTGACATCGATCAATGGTTCAGTCGAAGTCCTCGCAGCGTGTGGGCGTGAAGTGGGCACCGTTGGCATTTCCGGCTGGTCTTTTACTAGTCGACTCACTGAGGTCCTTTACAAGAAAAGGCTTCAACGCTTCACCGTGGCTCAACTACACTCTGACCTGATGGGTTATCGAGCAGTCTCGGGTGAGAAAAAACTGCTGAGGACCCCCGTCCATGGCATAATGAGCAATAAAGACAAGGCAAGCGTTCGTATCTCATCCCTCAAAACTGATTCTGATATCGAAGACTTGGAAGAGTTGAACCTTACCACGCTCGAAGACTCTGTGTCAGTTAAAAATTCTTCATCGCGTGTCTTAATATCTGTGTCCATCGAAGGCGATTTAGACCAGGTTGCCTGGCGAGACTGGCTTCTGAGCCAATTGCCAAGCGGAATCAGTGGTTTATCACTGGTTAGGCCAGAAGGTATCTGGCGCTCGCACTCCTCACTTGGATTATTCAGCTTGCCAATCGCTCTGTGGGACTTACTTGCCAACAAACCAGCTTACGCTTTTGTTGGATACGTCACTACTCCGAATATAATCCACGAAATCATCCCTCCATCCATTTTGTCGATCATCTACCCAAATCTAATTCATAGCGAGCTACCTACTTCATCTATAGAAGACTCGGCACACCCTACGACCAAAAAAAATAAACTCTTTCCGCGGCATACGAACTATTGGAGCGAAGATAAAGAGCTTCATTGGAAGGTTTCTATGTCGCAGCCACCGAAATATGTGCAGACGATGATTATATCGCCAAAAACAAAATTTCCCCCATCCCAGCAAGCTCATGTTCCAAGTCGTTCAGACGATTCTGTCAAATCTTTCAGTAAGATCGTTGCTCGAGGCGTCGATGCGGAAGCCGATATCCAGATCAAAGAAAACGAGTTCCAGCGAGGGATCTACAAAAAGCTCGTGGACTCGGCCAATACTGCAAACAAGACATGGACAGAGTCTCTGCGTTCATTTTCAATTCCGCGTTTCACACAAGCCCCAATGCCGACCAACGAGGAACTCAAATCAATTGTTTGCCATTACTATCCTCCACGAGCTATACTCAAATGTCACGTATGCGATTTCGGCGACGGGAGAGCAGAACATAGAATCGTTGAACTGGGCAAGCTCGAAGAATACATGATTGTAAAGCCTGATTGGGTCGATGTGCGCTGGATACATGCTCCTCTGGGATCAGGCCTGATGCAGTCGTCCCTCGAAGACGTTTTCTTGCACTTGAATGACCGAGGACAAGGGCGTGAGTTTGTCCAGCTGGGTAAATCTGTATGGAACTACTTGGAGTCTGAAATCTTCAATTTTAAAGATCAGGACTACTTCCAAGAGATGCGAGATATCTATGCCCTGTTTCACGATCGTGAAGAGCTGCGGGCAGACCTTGATATTTTAACCTGGAATGGAGACGAAAATGCTAGTCTTCATCCAGCTGTTGATTGGAGGGCCAAGCATCTAGCCACGGATGCAGGCTTTTGGAACCTTGTCAGCTCAGACATACCATGTCATCTATCTGAAGAACATTCGATGGGCAGTCCTGGTACGATGGATGGCTTGAAGTCTATTGATCGCCATGTTGAGAAACAAACGCTTTCGCTCGAACCATTTTATGGCAACGCGCAATTGGCTCGGGACCCCTTTCGAACTTTTCACCGTGGCGATGGCTTTCTGCTTACTTTATCACCCATGAATGGGGTGAACTATTTGGACGAAAATTTCGCAAAGTACTTGAAAGAACCAGCAGACTCCAGATTCGACAATGATGACGCCTCGGCAATAGGTCATTGCTTCCACGCATTTGCAAACACTGGAAGTAGTACATGGCACCGCAGAACAGTCGAGTACTTCCTTACATATCTCTTGACAGAGACTCTGACTACCCCGCACGCTATGCGGCAGGGTTTCAATGCACTGCCATTAAGCAGTGCCTACAGATCTATTGTCCAAGAACTGAAACGCGGGCTTCTCGACGAAAGGGAGCCGAAAGAGAAAGCCAACCTCAAGAGAGAATATCTCACATGCATGGATGAACTCAGATGTATTACGGCCAGCCTGAAGAAGAAGCTAAAGTTGTTCAAAGTAATGCAAATAGATATTGAAAATTTCGAAGCAGAAGATTTGCGAAATGGGAAGCTGCCAGACCATGTTGAAGGCGAGAGCGCTACCGAACGTATTCACTGGGCTATCGACACAGTTGAGTCTGACTATGATTCCTTTGAGCGATTGCTGGCGGACCTTCAACATTTATTGGATGAAGTAAGTTGCACCCCAATACTTTCTGTACCTCGCCCTTACAAATGAACAAAGCTAATTTGTTTGCTTTGATAGCTCGTTCAACTAAGCAGCGTTGACCCAAATGACTCGGAAATTTTGAGCGCAACGAATTTGCGAAAGTACAAAAGAGCTCATAGGACCTGAAATGGTGCTTCTTCCATTCTCACTTCTCACACTATACGTTATCATGAAATTAGTTCACACAAAATCCGCATTCTGAGGACAACTAATTGGGTTCAACAGATGGCCATCGGCGAACAGTGTACTGGCACAACTTTGGCGCTCAAGCTAACCGAGCATTTTTGGCTGTGAAAGCTAGATTCTCCGCGTTTCGAGTTCGTGTGAGACCTGGGATTGCAGGAGAGGATGATTGAACGCGGAAGCGGAGGAGTATGGGGTTACACTAATGCAAAAAACACCTTTAATTAAGTTGCTTAGGTAGTCCCTGCTGACTCTGACTAAATAGCACTGATTCTGTAGACTTTGTCAGGTATGTACTTGATAAGCCCTGGAACCTTGGTTCCAATACTTCAAGCGAAGGGTGGCCGCGACGCAAAATTGCATTTATGCATATTAATGTCAAAGGTCTGGAAGTGTTCCTGGAAGCAGGGCATCAATTGCTAGTATTCGGCAAGTTCTCGTAGATAAATACATTAATATACTAAATTACTTACATTGTATGCTATTATGTACTTTTCTCTATCCTTTTATCACTCTATTCTCCTGCGTACCTTGAACTTTTGGAGAATCAAACTTCTCGATTCCCCTCCCATCCGCTCCAACTCACTTCAATCACTTCCCGCAAAACCAACGACTCCGCAAGCCCCAGCGCCCACATACGTATCCTGGTAGGGATACTCAGGACTAGTGTACACCCCCAAAGCCGTACCTCCACAGCCCGATACCTTGCTCGCCTGAAAGCAGGACGTGGGCGCAAAGAGATAGCCCCCACAATTGGGATTCGTGATGCAGGAAACGCAGCAGTCATAGGCGCTGTTAACGTTGTCTTGTTCGGTGGCCCCGTTGTTAAATTGCGCTCCATTGACATTGACCCCGTTGATGGTGTTGACGGTGTTCGAGGGACCGCAGGCAGCGTAGTAGGTTGCTTGAGGGGGTTGTAGGCTACAGTAACGGTGGAGACGAGGGAGACGGTCGTCGTAGGGACAGTGGTTGTGGATACCGTATTGGTGATGGTGGAGGTGATGGTGGAGCTAGCGTCGACTGGGATCGTGGTGGCAGTCACGGTGGTGGAGAAGGTCGTGGTAGTCGAGGAGGGGGGAGGTGCGGAGGCTGAGATGGTGGTCGTAGTGGATGCCGTGACGGTTGAGGTTGCGGTTTTGTAAAGTTCCACCAGAGCAGCACATGCGACTTGAGTCGGGTACTGAGCGGGGGAGAACACGTTCTGCTTGTTCTTGTCGCGGCGAAATACTGGGCCAGTAGGGTTTGCCGCTGCGCGTTGCACCAGGTCGACGGCGGCGCTACGGGGCAGGCTGAGCTCTGGAAGGTCGCGTTTGGCGTGCAACTACTGGCTTGCGGGCACAAAGCCTGAGGGTGGCTGGATGGTGGTGGTAACGACTGCAGCCGTTGAGGTCGTGGTTGATGTGCTGGTGTAGACTGTCGAGGTGATGGTAGAAGGTATAACAGTTGCTGTTCGCGGTCATTAGTTAAAGGTCAGGAGAGATCTGCACGGATGATGAATTACTTGTCGTGAGAGCGGTACTGGTAGTAGTAAAAGTATCTGTTACTTGCGGAATCGTCGTAGTCGTGGTATCAGTGACTGTGGTACTGATTATGTTGGTGGTTGCCGAGGGAGTAATAGTGATCACGGGCGTAATCGTCGACTTTATAGTTGCCTTGCTTGTCAAAGTCAACGCGATCGAGAAGGTCGGCACTGGACTGCGCGAGCTTTTGCCCAGTAACGTCGTGCATGCTTGTAATGATTTTGTTGAATCCGCGACAGCTAAGAGAGCTCCCTTGAGAAGGAGTACAAAGCAGACTTTGGACTTCATTTCTATTGATGGAATAGGAAAACTTGTAGGCTGAAGGACGAAGATTATCCGTGGCCAGTGGGTACTTGGCAGAGAGAAGTATCCTATCGTCTGGTAGGGCCCTTATTTCAGGGGTAAACTCAGATTCTATAGTGTTTTTATTTTGCTATGTCTAAATAGTCCTGCTAGCATTCCTTATAATTACAAATATATATTCTATAGATATTATAGCCTTTAGTGGTTTTTAGCAGTCGACCTCGCTATTATTAGATAACCTTATTTAATTATGGTTTATATAATAGCTTCTAGTTTATTTGCTTTAAATATAGTTTATTTTTATAATTGATTCTATATATAAAATATATTATTAAATATTTAAACTTAATTATTTTATATTTATATAGTATTATAAGATAAATTTAGCTATTAGATAAAGGTTAGTTAATACTATATTTTTATAATTAATTAATTAAAACATTTATAAACTTAATTTAAAACTATTTATAATTTTTATTTAAGCTAACTTCTTTATATAATGTTGCGACCCTAGTATTTAAACTAGTAAATAGTATTAGCTAATTTAACTATAAGTTAGTAGGTTAGTTCTCTTAGAATATAAATAGTAGTTAAAAGATAAATAAAGGTAAAATAGTAAAATAGAATTAAGTTATAATTATTTTAGATTTTATAGTAAGGAATAAAACTTATATTAAATATAAGGAAATCTATTTAAAAAAGAGAATAAAAGGTTTTATATATATAATTTTACTTAATCTACTTAATAGTATTTATTTTTAATTACTTTAAACCTACTTAATTTAGAGGTTACTTAATATTTTTAGCACTTAAATATATTTAAGTACTTTAGCTATTTTTTTTTTTAGTTATTTTTCCTAGTAACCTAGTATAGCTATAGTCTCTATACTATAGCAACTACCTAGTTATACCTATTATATAAGGTTATAATATTATCTTTTTCTTTAATATAATTATTTTTAATTATTAATTTCTTTTATTATATAACTCTTTTAATTATATTATATAATCTTTTAATAATAATATTTAATATTATTATTATACTTTTAAGAAAAAAAAGCATTATAATTATTATATTATTATATATTATTATAAGAACTATGTTTTTTAAGGTTCTAAGTATATGAAGACTAATTAGTTAGTTTACTATATTAAGTATAATAAATATAATTAAAAATATAATCTAGCTTTTTTTAAAAAGAGATAAATAAATAATATAATATCCTTAATAATTTAGATAAGTAAGAGCCCCCTACTTATTCTAAGCTACTGCATATTTATAAAATAAAATAATTTTATTTAAAGAAGCTAGATTAACTAGGTAATCTTAATATAAAGAATATTTTAGAAATAAAAGAAAATAAGTATTATAAAGAAAAGTAAGAATAGTAATCTAATAATATATATCCTTTAACTTTAGCTCCTAAATTAGATTTAATAATTTTAACTTTTCTTTTTATAATTAGTCTAATAAATAAGTAAAAACTTTATTTGCTCTTATTATTACTATTAATAGAAGCGCTAAAGCTTTTTTATATAATTAAATAGTAAATATTTTTTTAGTTCTTATATATCTTCTTCTTCTAAGTAGTTTTTCTATTTAATAAAGTATTAACTATATTATTCTTTTAATATTTTTTCAATTTTAAAAGTATTATTTTCTTTAGGTTTATATTTAAATAATATTAAAATTAATTTAATATTTTTTACTTTTTTAAAAATAATATATAGAATACTAAGTATATTTTTATATTATTTAGTAGTTCTAGTTTATAGTTAATAAGTCCTTTCTATTTCCGAATTTTAAATAAACTAACTTATAAGTAATTTAGTTTCTTATTTAATCTTTTTATCTTAAGATTTTTTATATAAAGCTATATTTTATTTCCCTTTTTTAGTTAAGGTCTATTTATCCTATATTTAGTTTTTTTATTTTTTTATTTTAATTTATACTTTTTTTTAAAGAATTAATAATATTTTTATATATTTATTCGAGTTTTAATATATATTTAATTATTTTCTAAGATTTTAGTAATTCTTTTATTATATTATTTATATTTAGATTTCTTTTATAATTTATATAGAATAGTATTATTTTTATAGTATTTAATATTAAGTTATTAAATATTAATTCTATTATAAGTAAAAGTTTTATTTAATTATTTTAGCTCTAATTAATATAATATTATAAATATATTTTTAATATTTAATTTATTCTTTTTATTTAACTATTTATTTTTAAGTAATATATTATAAAGAGCTTTAGTTTTATTTTAGTCTTTATTATAATAGTCTTTTAGAATAAAGATATAAATAGTTTATTTCTATTTAAAATTATTTCTTTAAAAAATCTTTTAATTTTAATTATTTTATCTAAGAATATATATACTAGTTATACTATATTATATATTTTATTAAATAGTATTATTATAGTATATTTTATATATTTATTAACTATAACTATTATAGTATTATATATCTTTTTAGTTCCTAAGTTTTATAATAATAGTAGCTTTATTATAAAATTTATTATAGTATACTATTATAGAAACTCTAGTAAGTATATTTTCTATAGATAACTATACTTTTTATAGTTTTTAGTTTTATTTTTTTTATAAAAGGCATTTTTTAATATATTTATTAATTACTATTTTTATATTTAATAAAGACTAATTTTGCTTAATAAGTTTATATATTTTAATTATTCTTAAATATCTATACTTTAGATTATTATAATATTTCTATACTAACTTTTATAGAAATTTCTTTAGTATATAATATTATTACTAATATTTTAGTAATTCTTTCTATTTTAAATTAATCTATTTTTAAACTATTTTATTATTCTAATATACTTTTTATACTTAGTTAATAAAATTATCTTTTATTAATATATTAATTTATAATAAATATAATATTCTATTATTACTTTATCTAAATATTACTATTATATATTTATATTTCTATTAATATAAATCTAGTTATCTACTAAGTTTATTAATA